CATGTGGACTGCAAGGACATTTTTGGCACGGGCGGGAGCAGAAAGCACCAGCTAGCCAGCCCAAGGGGTCTTGGCCCCTGCAGGCATCCTCTGGGAGGAGGGCTCTTCACCGCATCCATGGAGCAGCTGCGGGGCCCACTGCAGCAAAGAGCCACAAAGAGCCCCTTTGTTCTTTCCACAGCAGAGGGATTGGCGTGAGCATTTCCTGACCATGTCTGCAGGGGGGATAAGAGGGACAGCAGCCCGTAAAGCAGTGGATAGCCCTGAATGGGGAGAGAAGGTGTTGGTGCCGGACAGTAAGCAGCCGTGGAGTGTGAGACAGCCTTGTTGGCCCTTCTGGGTCAGGGAAACCCCTGGACGGCCTGGCAGGCAGGTGGAGGAGTCACTGCCCACCTGGAGAAACCTTGCTGTTCAGGAGGACCTCCTTCATGCAGCCCTGAAGTTCACTCGATGGGGCAGCAGGGGCGGCAGGGGCGGCTCTGGGGCTCCCTGGCAGGGCCGTCTTAACAGCATTATGGGCCCTGGGCAAAGCAGTGTACTGAGGCCCCTACGACAACTACTGTTAATTTTGGAAGTTTTCCAATTTTTCCAAGGGTTAACATACACAGATTAGTATGGGGCCCACGGGCAAGTGCCCATCAGGCCCATGCGTTAAGACGGCCCTGCTCCCTGGCTTTTCACCCTGGCCATTCTTGATCGGCAGCAGGTGGAGATGGAGGGGCTGCCTCGCTGGACTTTGCGACCTGCAGCTGAGGTGAGCGTGGAAGATGCAGTGTGGAAAATGGTTCCCCCATTGTAAGCCTCGGAATACAATTTCTTATAAAGAGGCCCCCTGGGGACCCGAGCAAATCACAAGGCCCTTCTTGGCATCCACGGAGTGCCGCTGCAATCGTGCAAATTGTCGGACTGGCCTAATTGCCACAGGGGTGGACAATGGACCCACACACGGCTTATGCTCTCACCTGTGGCATGGCATGGCATTTGTTTCACTCCCAGCTGAGGAGAAAGAGCATCAGAGGGACCCTTTTCTGGCCAACCCGCTGCAGAGAGGCTCCCATCCTTCTGGACGGGGCTTCCAAAGCTCATCGGGCGTTTCTGCCCCAGAAGGGCCCCTGGAAGCCGCTGCTGGCCGCTGGCCCACGGGCTCCCGCCGGACTCCGTACCCAAGCAATGCCCGTTGACTCTGAGGCCCGTGCGCATACTGTGGAGTAACGAAGACTGGCATCTTCGAAGAAGCGCCACGGGAGAGCGGCCCTTGGGAACGGGACTGCGGCGGGAGCAGGCCCGCCTGCGACGGGGAAGGGGGCCCGCCCGGACCTGCCGCCACGCGCCCGGGGCCGTCGCGCGGGCTCTCCGGCCAGCCAGGCCAGGGGGCTCGCGCCCGCCCTAACGGCGGCTGAGGGCGCGGCAGGCAGGCAGGCCGGCTCAGCGCGGGGAGCGCCACGGCCGGCCGCCTGGGAGCTTCGGGGCCCCGCTCGTTGCGGGCTCCTCTGGGCCGCTCGCTCGGAGAGCCGCTCGCGCTCGCGGCCTGGCCTGGGCGGCGGGGTCCAGCGGCGAAGGAAGCTGGAGGCCCCGCGCCTTCCCGCGGGAGGGAGGCGGCCCCGGCGCTCGCCCTGCGGTCGCGGCCTTGCCTGAGGGGCGCGACTCGCCGCCCCCTTGCGGAGCGGAGGCCGGCGGGCTGCGGCGGCGGCGGCGGCGGCGGCAGTAGTGCCGGGCCCGCTCTCGGGTGCTCGCGGGACGGCTCCCCGTCCGCGGCCCGGCCTTCCCTCGCAGCGGCCTTCGGCGCCTCTCCCCGGCAGCCCCACCGCATGCGCTCCGCACCTGGCGGGAGGCCCAGCCCGCGACCCCGCAAGCGCCCTTCAGAGAACCGGCTGCGATCTCCCCCAGTGGCCAGGTAACTCCCCCAGTGCCCCCCCCCAGCCCCCTCCCCGTTTCCACAGCCTTTGCCCCAGTCGGTGAGCTGCGAGTGGGGCGCGTCCTCCGCTGCTTCGCCTGGCGGGCTTAGCTGCAGAACTTCGTGCAGCCCCGGGGCTTCCTAACGCTTCCCGGGTTTTGCAAGGAGTATTTCCAATTATTCACAGAATTCTGCGATCTGAATCGCACATTTTCAAGGAGAATCCTCCAAGAGCTCGTGGTCCTTGGCTACTAGGCCATGGCTGGCATTAGCTTCTCTTTCGCATCATACGGGCCAAGGATTAAGTGGATAAGAAGACAACAGGTGGCTCCACAACAATTCAGTGATGGCCTGAAAGAAACTAACATGTACAGGAAGTGGAAGCAGGGCCAGCGGCAAAGGAAGAATATAAACAAATAGCAAGGAATTCCAGGATCAGGAAGGCTAAAAAAGGAAATGAACTGAGAATAGCAAGGGATGCTAAGCACAGCAAGAAAGCTTTCTTCAGATACATCCAGAACAAAAGATGTGTGAAAGAGAAGGGTGCTCAGCTACTTAAAGTAGATGGCAGAGTGCTGACAGATGACAAGGAAAAGGGAGAGGTGCTCAATTCCTACTTCCCATCAGTCTTCTCCGACAAGAAAATCTACAACCAAGAGGAAGTACAATCTGGAAGTGAGAGATGGCAGCCTAAGAGTAATGGTGAAGGAATACATTCAGATTTCCTGGACCCGATAGACTCCATCCAGAGTCATAAAAGAGCTGGCGGAGGAACTCTCAGAACCACTGGCTATTATCTTCAATAAATTTGGATTTGGATGTGTGTCTGACATATGTGAACCATTATTATTGTTACTACTCCTACATGGATGGAAGCCATCATAAATTGTACAGAAGCTAGTCACGGGGGTTTCTGGGTACATAATGCCCCATTATTGTGTATGTGCAGGATTGTCCTTCTGGGTGTTCCTGGAGTGGGTGCAGTAGGGAAGGAGCCATCCTCCTTGATGGAGGCTGCAGGATTTAAAAGACTGCCACGAGGTTTGCATATATTGCACACTTAAAACGATCCCTTTTGGACACCACAGAAACTCTATTCAAGAACTGAGGATTCTTCCTTCAAGAATCTACATGATGCAGATTTTTCTTGTAGCTTCTTATGTAGGCATGTTGTTTCTTCAAAGGCAACTCCTTCCCTTTGAGAGCTCGTCACTGGGGCAATAAATAGGGAGCACAAAGAAATAAATACTAGCACAAAGAAATTATGCATGCAGTTTCATAATGATCTAATTTAAGGTATCTTCATACCTTTCCAAAATCAATGAAGACAGTGTAAAAACAACAACAACAACTAAAAAGCCCTAAGTAATCAGATAAAGGCATAATAAAGCATTTGGTAAGAAAGCAAGTTGCAGAGCATTTTGTTTTCGTTTTTTTTGACAGAGGGTGGTACTCTCTTGTCTGAATAACCCGAATTTCTGAATAAAGGGCAATTAATACAGTTCTTGGAAAACAACATGTTACCTGGCAGTAGGCAGAGAACCAGGGATTCAGGTGTGCCATCACTACAACAATATGCAGCTTATTTGGTAGGTCTGGATGCTGTCCAGACTTAGTGATTCCTTGATGCATCGTACCCACACGTTTTTAGTTTTCAAAGATTTGTGAATCCTTGCATGAAAGCATCAGTTAAAGCATCTGCTTTGGTTATCTTCCACTTTTTGACCCAAATGGCTGGGGAGCTCACAAGAGTAGCAACATCCTTCAGTGCAGTCAGCAGGCAAGTGAAATACACCACCTCATCTGTTTCGTGCCATTTTAACCTTTGGGGCAGTGGCTGCCTTGCCCCATGTCTGAGTCACAGCAGCACCATCTGTTTGAGGCCTGGATGATCTCTGGCAACAGGTCAGCCCTCCTGCCCATGGGAGAGGCCAGCCATGGCAGGCAAGGCCATGGGGAACTGGACCCCGTTGACAGTTCTGGGCTCTGTGGCAGAAGCTGGCGCATTGCCACCCTCAGCCCCATCTCTCTTACCGGGATGTAGTTTGTACAGTTCATGCTGCATTAAGAAAATAAAATCCACATATAATGACCATTATGACTGCTTCTTCATTTCCCTGCATTGCATATATTATGTCGCATTCTGCCTTTCTTCCAAGGACCTTGAGCTTCTTCCTGCCCCCCTCCATTTGTTCTCACAACAACTCTGTGAGGTAGGACAGGCTAGGAGACTTGGCAGACTTCCATAGCTCAGAAACAACTGTCTGAGGCAGCCCCATCCTCGAGAAAGGCCCTTCCCTGTGCCCGAAGTGCATTCTGCTGCATAGCAGGCTCATCTGGATTTCTTTGGAGATGGCAAGTTAGTTGTCATCAGGCACTTACATGCTGGCGTGGAGCAGGGCTGCGAGGGCTGCACTGTCGAGTCTGTCAGGCAGCGGAGCCTCAGTGCCTCTGTGCAGGGAGGTCGCATCCAGAGGCTGCTTGCTTTCCCAGGGCTGCCTCCACAGTCCTCCCACAAGGGTGGCCTCACGCCAGTGGGGCAGCAGGGGCAGGTGTAGTCTTGGTGCATTCGCAGGCACTCCAAAGCCAGAGGGTGCAGGTTGCCGTTCCACTCCCACTGCCTCACCAAACTGGAGCGAGCTTTTCTAGCCTTTGTGGTGGTGGGAAATGTGCAAGATGCAATTGATGTGACTCTCAAAACCCAAAAGGGGACATGGCGAGGGCTTCCACTGCCCAGGAGCTTCCCCGTAGCATCCCTACACCCAGCATTTTGCTCCTGCTCAGCCTCACTTCCTCCCTTGCCTTTCCCTGAGCTGAGAGGCATTTCTTGCAGAAGCAGCCTGGGCACAGCATCAAACCAACCAACAGAAGTCGCTCCGCTATTTTAAAGTGAGGAACCTGAAAAGTGGTTGTCCTGTTTTGAGGAGGCATCGCCGGTGTATGTGTCTGGATGAAGGGGCAGGGGGTTGGTGCCCCAAGGTGGGATTCCTCCGCTTGATCTACAAGGCAGTGGGTTGCATTGAGCAGCGACTGAGCTCTGGAGGCAGCAGTGATTCCTTCCCATCCATCTTTTGCATGCTGGGGGCAGCCTGGTAAGGAGAATGAGATGGCAGCGCTGCCCAGGGCCTTCAGTCTGACAGTACGAGGAGCCACCTGGCCAACTGCGTTCCTCATAGAAACAGAAACCGCGCGAGTCAGAAGGGTCTCCCGGGCCATCTAGTCTGACCCCTGGCTCCAGCCGGCTCCGCTCACGACATGCCACCATGCTTGAACTGCTCTCTGTGCCGCACCGTGCTGGGTGGTTTCCAGTTTGGGAGTGACTGAATGGGCTGTGCCTCCCCCACCCTTGTATCACCGCTCCCCCAGCATATATGCAGTTTCCTTTGCAGCAATTGCTTTTGGGAACACCTCACAAGTGGGCAGCCTTCTCGTGCATGCTCTGCCTCTCACTCTTGTCCACACAAGCTTGCACACACAGGCGCATTCACGCTCTTGCTACAATAATAATACTTCAGCAGCCGCCCCGCCCTGCTCATTCGGGGAAGAATTTTGCCGCGTCAGCTGTCTGCCGCCACTCTGTCGAGACTAGGTGAGCGCTCTGCTCCCGCGGTGCCAGAGCCGAGCTCAAGAGATGGTGGCGACCCAGAATGGCACGGCAAAGCGCTAGAATGCAGCGGGCCTCTCCTTCTGCATCCTCATCCTCAGCCAGAGAGGAAGTCCCGGCAGGCGCAGCTCCCATCTGCTGGTGCTGAGCGGCTCCATGTCCACTTTTTCTTTCGACAGGATTCCCAGTCCCTGGACGGATGTATCCAGAGCACGCTCTCGGTGCTCTACCCTCCCTTCGAGATCACAGCAGCCACTGTTCTGTGTCAGGTCTTTGACGTGGTGGAGAAAACATACGGAGGGGACGGCCTGCACTACCTCATCGACTTCCTGATCCCGGCCAAGCACATCTTGCAATGCATCCAGCAGGATGCCTGTGTGAGTACCGTGTGTCCCTGGGCTGCCCCAGAGGGCTCTGAGCGCTGCAGGCGGGGCTGAGCTTGTGTAGCAGGATTAGGCCCATCTCCCAGGAATCTCGAGGGGCTTCCTCCTCCTGGCGCTAAGACGTGCTCCAGATCGCCCAACTCCCTTAAGCTGCAATGAACAGAAATGTGATATTTTGGACTCCCACGTGCACTGGACTGGCAGGTGTTCATCGCCTTGAACTATGCACATAACCGTCTGATTTAACAAAGCGGCTGCTCTAGCAGATGGCCTTTTTCAGCCCAAGTCCCACAAGCTCAGCTCCCCTCTTTCCTGCCCCATTGCCACGCTGCATGCAGGCATAGTTGCCCAAGGGTAGGCCTGAGCACTTGCAGCAAAACGCACATTCTCTAAGTCATGCGCTACACAACTGTCGATGCACAAGGAAAGGAAGGGCAGGGAGACCAGCAGGAGCTGCACTTTCTCAGACAGGTGTGCCTGGATCTGGCAGCTTCTGCCTCCGGGTAGCTGATTGTTGGGAGTTGGTGAGGTTTCTTTTGCTGGGAGTTCTCGCAAAGGAACTGTGCCAGGTGGGAGTCTGCAGAGCGCTTGCCAGTGCTCTCCTTTGATTCTTGCCATGCTGTTTGCAGCGCTGTTCCTTGGAGCAGCTGGAGCGCTGGGTCCGTCCCCCTCACTGTGCCCTGCTGCAGCTTGTTCACTCCAGAGGGACTTGTGCAGAAAGATGGCTGGGACTTGAGGCAACGTGTGGGTCCAGCAGGTCTTTCTCCAAAAGCTGCAGCCACGGGTGGCGCCTCGGCCTCACGTGTGCAGATCCACGGAGCTGGAGCATGTGCAAGCCGTGCGTGTGCAGGGCGGGGAGCTGAAACTGCGGCTGCCTGGGAAGGCTCCCGCCTGCATGGTTTGAGGGGGACTGTTCTGGCGCAAAGGGTGGCTGCCAGCCGATCAGAGCCAGCGCCAGGCCTTTGAAGCAACCTTGGGCAGCAGGTGAACTTGAGAGCGTGAGCGAGAGGCGTATGTGTGGGGTGGGGGGTAGAAGGGTGTGGGTGTGTCAGAAAAAGCATGAGTGCATGTGAAGGAGGGAGAGGTGTGTGCATGTGTGAGTGCGAAACAGAATTTGTGTTGCATGTGGGTTGTGTGAGACGGGGGATGGGTGCATGGTGTGTCTGTGTGTGGGACTGACCTCCCAGCAGGTGCTCAGTGCAGCCCTCTGGCCGCTCCGATTGAGTCCATCCCTTGCTCCGGGCAGGCGCTCTGGTACCAGGTGTGGCCGCAGCATCCCTGAGGCTGCATCCCAGTGGCTGCCTGAGGCTCTTGCCACTGTAGCACTTCTCCGAATGCTGAGCAAAACTCTGCCACTTCTGCCATTTTCACCCAGAAGTTCTGGTCCCTGGAAGCTGCCACTTCCCTCATCACTTGCCGGGCTTCCTTCATTCACCTTGCAGGTGACCTCTTGGGCTTGGTGCTCCCTTTCCTGAGCTGCAGTTTTTATTCTAGTTGAGCTTTTATTATTGGAGTTTTAAATAAATCCTTGGACATTCTGGAGAGATTTGGTGCTCTTGCCCTTCAATTTCCTTTCTGCCAGTCCTCTCGGTGTTTTGAGGGGTTTCCTCCTTTGAAGCCAAAGGTGACTCTGTGGGACATTCTTGGCAGTTTCCACTTGCATGCGGCTTGTGCAGGGAAATGCAGCTCTGTGGTCCCCACCAAGGAAATGCAGAAACTCGCTGTAATCACACTGAAAATAGTGATCGCTCATTTTGCCAGGGCTTTCTAGGTGCAGTGAAGTCATTAAGCCACCATCGACCGCAGAGGTCTGTCCCTAAGTTACGAGTGCAGCACCAGCCTCTGGCTGTGGCTTTCCTGTTGAAACTCACCCGCAGAGGCTGACCCGGGTTTTCTCTTCCCTTCAGGTGCGGTACTGTGGCTTGCTGTTCCGGCACGAAGGCTGGCCCCTCTGCATCTGTGAGAAGGTGGTGGTCCAGCTTGCCTCCCTTGATTGGCGGATCCTGAGGCCTGGAGACTTTTACCTCCAGGTGGCCCCTTCCCTGAAGAGGTCCCCGCGAGTCCTCGTGAAGTGCTTGGCCAAGAACAAGTGTCACGTCGAGGAGCTCGTGGTGCCCGAAGTCGCCTACACCTCTGTCTTCACTGCAGAATGGCTGAGCCAGATCAACAAGGAATGGACGGGGACGGCGCTGGAGAACTGCCTGCTGGCCACAGAGGGCAACGTTTTCCGGGTGCCCTGGGGCAAAATAGTCAACCCGGAGTTCATCGATAAACCCAAAGCAATGGAGAGCACAGCGGGTTCTGCCCCCGTGACAGTACGGTCTTGTTCCCACAGCTTTTCAGAGGAGCAGCCCCCAAGCAGCTCTCCTGAGGTGGGACCACCCTTTCTTTGTGGGCCCGGAGATGACCTGTTTGTGGCCATAACAGAGGGATCCATGAGGGGAGCTGCTGGCAAGGAGTGGCTGAGCCCAGAGCAAAGTGAGGACCCCGAATGTGGCTTGGCAGGAGAGGGTGCAGCATCCACGGGTGTCCCCTTGCCTCAGGGTGGGCCTGGAAGGGCATCCGTCAACCAGCCAGGGCCCCCCAGGCAGGACATGGAGCCCAGGATGCAAGGAGAGGAGCGGCCCATCACCAGTCTGGACGGAAGTGTGTGCCTGAGGAGCAGACTCTGCTTGGCACTCCCAGCAACGGTGTGTGGGCAACGGGAGGCTCCCGATAGCCAAGCCAGCGATGCCGGGAATTGTTTGGAGGAGCACAGTGGAGCAGGGGGTGTCGAACCTCTGCCAGACATCCCGGAAGGCCCCAGGGGCCCTGCCTCTGCCACTAGCACCTCTGTCCACTCCAGTGCCGAGAGGCCTTCCCACACGCAGGCCCCAGAAGTGCGGCTGCAGCATGAGCTCGACTGGAGGTACGCCATGTGCAGCTACAACGATGCGGAGGAGGAGCCTGAAGGCGAGCTGCCGGCCACAGCGGAACATTCCAGAATAGCAGGGCCCGCTCAGAGGAACTGCTCTGGGACAAAAAATGGCCACAGGGACAGAGAGCACTGCCCGGGCGGGTTTGGCACAGAGGCGACATGGGAGGCAGGCCGCAGCTGCGGCAGGACTGGGAAGGAGCTCCCTGCAGGGTCTCACCCAGGCCATTTGGCCAGTTGCAAAAGCTGGGAGGAGACCTCTGGCAGCTCTGGAGCGTGGCTGCAGGACGAGGTCTTCCCCCCAGAGCCCCTCACTGAAGGAAGGGGGGCTCAAGGCCCTGCTTCCCAGGAATGGCCTGCTGGGCTGCCAGGGCACCATTTGCAGCCACTTCCCATCCCGGAGGAGACACGTCCCAGGCAAGCGGGTGCACTGGCAGGGCTGGGCAGTGCACTCTGTGAGGCAGGAGGCCCCCCACAGCTGGGCCGGCTAAGCCTGCCCCGGACTCGGAGGCGTCCAGGCTCAGGAGACCCTCTCCCCCTGGAAGGACAGTCGGTGGGAGCCCTGCTCAGCGATGCTGGGCACGAGGACGCAGACTGCGGCCAGCAGCTCATGCAGAGAAACCCGGGAGCAGAGCTGAAGGTGCACGGCTGCAGCCCATTGGCGGAAGCCGGCTCACAGGCTGGGGGCACCTCCAGCCACACAAACGAGGAAGGGGCCGTGGCAGCACACTGGGGGGGGCAGCGAGGCAAAGCACAGCCTTGCTCGTTGGGAATGCTCGAGGAGATGGCCTGCCCGCCCGGGCGATGTGGAGGGGGCAACCAGCCCATCCCCTGCGAGCCTCCAGGCAAGCATTCACCCAACAGGCCAGAAGAGGCGGCGGCAAGAGCGTCCCTGTCAGAGCCACCGAAGGACGGGCAGCCAGGCGGCCCCTGGGATGGTGCAAATGGGGAGCATGGCACAGGTAAGGGTCCCTCACTCTGTTCCTGGGGAAGGGGACTGGGAATGCAGGCGTCTGCTTGAGCTTCCTCCAAGAGACTTCTGTTGTCCCCCCCCCCTCGCCTCATGGTAAAACTAACGTCTTTTATTGCAACTTATCTACAAGATTTACAACACTACAAATAAGCTCTGTTGCAATGGTCTTTACAAGGCAGTTGCTAACTCCTTAGTGACGTCCCTCAGGGAACCCACGCTGGACTAGCTTTCTTTGTCCCACCTTTCCCCCCTGAGGCGGGACAAAGCCTCCTTCTGCTCCAGTCGGCCAGGGAACGTCTAAGAGTCGCGCAGGACAAATCCGCCCCACCTCCTGTGTCTCCCGTGTCATGTCCAGGAGGTTCAACGTCGGGAGGAAGAGGGGGCAACCTGCCCACGCTCTCCATGAGCAGAACTTGTAGTGCCTTTTCCCTCGGCGCCTTCATGGTCGGGCAGAGGCTCGGCTGTTTGCCCAAGGGGTAAACGGTCAGGATGAGGGATGGCCATCTGTTCAGCTACTCCCAAGCCAGGTTGTGGAAGGGTCACTTGGCCACTGGGCCTCAGGTATAAGTCCTCCTGTTCTGATGTCTGACTCTCTTTGAGTGTTTGACTTTTCCTCGTGAGGTGCTGCCTCTGTCAGGATGTCAGGCATGACAGCCACGCCAGAAAGACGAGAGGCTTAAAGGGTGAAAAAGGGAGCAGGTGATTGACTCTTTCGGCACGCAAGCAGGCAGGCAGGCTGGAGCGGTTCCCCTGCTAGGAATGGTGAAAGCATCATGCTCAGCCATGGTTTCGTTCACTCGGTGGCAGGCCTGGGCTGCTGGACGAGGCAACTGGTTCACCATGAAAGGCAGGCCAGGAGCGAGCAAGTTCGAGCTTGCTAGCCCGAGATCTGCCTGGGTTGCCTTCCATCACGGCGGCAGGCTTGGGCACCACAGAGAAGCGGGCCTAGAGTTGACGATCTTAAATCCACACCTATTCATATGGTATATAATAGATCAAACTGAAAAAATGGGGTCTTTTTCTGGCTATAAAATGAATAAGAAAATGAAAATTATATATTAAAATATTATTTCAAGACAATTACAAATTAATGTGGACAAATATTCAAAAGTATCTACAGAGATGGTCTAAATTAAAAGTGCAATAGTTGGGAAGAATTTCCATTATAACAATGAATGTTCTACCCAAATTAATTTTTTATTTCATATGATAGCAATTTTCATACAGGGAAAAATCCTTCAAGAATGGCAAAGGCAATTGAATACCTTTATGTGGAATGAAAAAAGAAACCCAAAGATTAGGTTTAAAGTCCTACAAGATGAAAAAGAGAGAGGTGGTCTTGCTGTACCTAATATCAAGTTATATTATTATGCAGCTGGCTTGGTTTGGATTACAAATTGGATTATAAATCCTAATGAAAGATTAGTGAAATTGGAAACAGCAGATTTGGAAGGAGGACTGCATCTGTGGACTTAGGAATCAATCAAAAAAGATTTAACAGTAAACAATACCTATCCACTTAGAGACAGTGTAATAGGAACTTGGTATTCTATAAGAAAAAGAATTAACTGTCCAATTTCTCCTCTGATGTCTCCAATAGATGTATCTTATGATAAGCATTTAAGGAAATCAATTATTTTGTAATATATGGAGATATGATTGATCAACAAGAAGGAATCAAGCCTTGGCAAAAACTAAAAGCTAAAGGGAAAATATATATCTTTTATTACCAATTGGTTTCAAGATTAAAAAGGGGAATTCAAAGAGGAAAAGGTAAGAAGATAAGAAACCTCACAGAATTTGAAAAGTTGATTACACAGCAACAAAGATCACCTATTAGGAAGAATGAATTGGAGCAATAACTCCAATATGATACTGAAACTGAGCAAGTTAAAATATGTATGATAAGTTGGATGCAGAATTTTGAGGAAGAAATTTATTTCTGTCAGTGGAAATCTTTGTGGATGAAGGATACAAATTCACAGCTAGTCAAACACTAAGAGAAAATTTGTACAAGATTTTTTTTGCTGGCATATTACACCAAAAGTTATTGAGAAAATGGATAAGAATTATAATGGAAGGTGCTGGAAAGGTAAAGAAGTGGATGGGACTTTTTACCATATGTGGTGGATGTATAATAAAGTTTTTTAAAATTTGGAAGGAAATACATGTATAAATACAGAATTTTTTGAAAATTAACTTTCCTGTGAATGCTAAGAATATGCTATTGAATATTGTACCAGAAACTCTGCCAAGGATGGTACAGTTTACTAGCTATATGATAACAGCAGCTAGAGTTATAATAGCATCAAAATGACTACCCAACTAAAGAAGATTGGAAAATAAATTGGCTAACTAGTTACATAAATTTCCAGCTGAAGAATTTAACGATAAATGGAAATCTTATTATATACAATTTACTTAATAGGGTTTGTAAAAATATCATTAGTGACTTATAATTTTAATAGAAATGCTTTGTTGTTATTTAATTTAATTTAAAAGGAATGGAAAATAAGTCAGTATTAAGAATTACAAAATAGAATAATAGCTGTATAAGTTTCAGTTTACTAATTGATTTAACTGAGTGTAGAAGAGATAACAATTACTGACCTTTTGTGGAATTTTTTGATCTTGAGATGATATGTACTATTTGTGCAAGATCTTGGTATCTTTTTCTGTATTCTACTTTTTAATGAAAATAAGACTCAAAAATGAAAACAAATTATCTACCACACATCTCAAGCAACCCTAAGAGAAGGCGGGACGCTGCCTGCTTTAATATGCCAGGAACCTGATGTCCTGCTCTCGGACAGAGGGCCCAGACAAGAGGATTCCAAAGAGGTTTTTGACCATGGTCAAAAATCTAATCTAAGTGAAAAAGACCGAAATTTAGCGCAGACCACCAAACAGGCCTGAGGATAATTAACAAAAAATCCAGAAAGTCAAATTCACCTGCTTTAATAGCAAGCTGCATCCTTTTCAATTATATTTATAGTGAAGAGCAGCATCCAAAACATTCATGCAATGAAAAACTTAACATTAAAAAAAAATATTTGCTAGGAATCCCACTGAAGCAATCCTATTATAATATTCAGTGTATTAACCTTACCCCACAAGCTTAGCTTTAGAGATGCCCATCTGTCTACACCCTGTGATATCTCATTAATCAGCTTATTCAAATTTAGCTTAATCATTTGCAGTATTTTTCTAGGAACAAGTATTCCCAAGTAAGTATCAGACTTCAGATACCAACGAAATTGTTAATTTGCAGCTTCACTGTGTGACATACCTCCAACTGGCATCAATTCAGACTTTGACCAGACAAACTGGACAACCAGTTTACCAAAAGAGTTAATCAGCTGCATCAAAGCAGGAATGGGCACCTGGAGGTGTGAAATAGACAAATGATCTACATAAAGGATAATTCTGAATTCTAAGCAATTGCAAACAAAGCTGTGAATATTGGTGCTCTGTTTCATGGCACACACCAGGAGCTCCTAATATAAATTGCCTATCAGTGGAAAAAGAGGCCACCCTGCCTGGTTCCTCTCCTGTGTGGAAAAAAATGCTGAGAAGAACCTGTTGGCCAAAATTGTGATGGTTAGAATACAGAATTTTAAACCATTTCAGAAATTCAACAGGAAAACCATGCTGTATTAACATCCTGAAAATAAAATTCCGATGAATTTTGAGTAAGGCATTTTCAGCATTCAAGGAAAAAATAGTGGGCTGGTCTGTGCTCTTAAATTTTAAAGTAATTAAGTCAACCAGTAATGTGAGGTTATTAGCTCTCTGCCACTGTTTAATAATCCTACTAGATCTGGTCTGAGCCAGTGTTGTAATGACATTTGCAGTCTGGGACCAAAACTGCAGTCAGTAGTTTAGGTAAAGGTAAAGGTTTCCTCTTGACATTAAGTCCAGTCATGCCTGACTCTCGGGGGCTTCCTAGCCGAGGGAGCCAGCATTTGTCTGCAGACAGACTCCATGGTTGTGTGGCCGGCATGACTAAACACCGAAGTGCACGGAACGCTGTTACCTGCTCACCAAAGTGGTACCTTTTTATTTACTTGCATTTGCATGCTTTCGAACTGCAAGGTTGGCAGGAGCTGGGATGGAGCAACGGGAACTCGCCCCGTTGTGCAGATTTGAACCAGCGACCGTTTGATCTACCAGCCCTGCAGTTTAAACCACTGCGCTACCTGCAGTCCCCTAGTCAGTAGTTTATGTTAGTGTTAATTAAAGGAACAGGTCAATAGTGGAGTGCTGTGTATGATCTTTACTAGGTTTGGGGATCATTTAATGATACAGAGAAGGAGCCTGTTCAGACATTCAAGAGATCAGCTGGAGTAGTTTTGGAACTAAGAGTAGCTTTGTACTGTCCAACTGGAAACCTATCCAAGTCAGGGGATTTCCTGGTACACTTTGCTGCAACTGCCGCCATTATTTCTTCCTTAAGAGGCTCCCTGGTGACTTTGGGCCAGTCACTCATTCTCAGTCTACCTTACCTCACAAGAAGGTTATTCTGAGAATAAAAAGGAGGTATACAAGCCACCCTTGGCTCCTCATCAGAGGAAATAGGTGCGATAGAAATGCAGTATCATCATTGTCGCCATCGACATCATCCTATATAGCCCTAAAGCCTGAAGAGGAGAGGAGCGTGGGGCTGACCCAGATGTGTGCACAAGATGCTGAAGTGGTTTCACTGTGGCTTTGCCATCACCAAAGGATTACCAGATCATCCACCAAAGGGCACTGCAGAGACAGAAAGAGTGAAATGAATCAACCTTCTGTTATTGGCCATGTCTGCTGTTGGCCGTGTCTTCCCATGCCAAGCAGACTACCAAGAGGAGACGGGGCATTGTAACCCAGAGATGCCTCTGGACCCTTTCCTCGCTCACACTCATACACACACACGTGCATGCCTGTCTAAAGAGGCCCAGGCAGTTGTTAAAAGAGGCGAGGGCACCAGGGGGAGTCTGGACATGCTTCCCTGCATGGTGTTGAGCAGCAGTGTGGGGGCCAGCAGGTCCTCTCTGTTTTCCTGCAGCCTCCTGAAACCGCCTTTATCAGCCTGTAGAACACCTGAGAGCAGTGGAGCAAAGAGCCCATGGCAGAGGGGAAAACAACCGTTTATAAAGTATTAAATATATATTTAAATTGATTCCCTCCCCACCCCAGTTTCTTTTAAATTGGCTGCTAGGTAGAATTAGAAAGATTAGCTGTGATTGGTCACAGCACAAGAACCCAGAGTGTTGCTTGGCTTCCAATTCTGTCTTGGTACCAAAGGGGCAAGCCAGAATCCCAGGTTCGCATGCTACCGTGACCAACCTGGGGCAGAGCCTGGGTTACTATGGATCATTGTGTTCAGCCCTCCCTTATGGAAACTTCCCTAAAGTTTTAGTTTTTATGTTACATTATGCCTTTTATATTTTACTTTTATTATCTGCTTGGAGCCCTGGAGAAGGGGCAGGATCAAAATGGAACAAATGAGCAAGTTAATTTGTCACTGAACAGAAGTGGTGGTGAGGGTGGATGCTGTGATACTGGCTTGTGCATGCCCCACATCCCCTTTCTGATCACAGAGCCCTCGCTGAAATGGGCCAAAAACAGCAGAGGAGCTGGCAAGGTTGGCCGGGGATCAGCCCATCATGGCTGCAGCTGGGAAGAAGGCTCAGCATCAGCTGCATCCCGAGAACCACTCTCCTTTCCGTCCAGTGGAGGTCTGCAAGCTGCCCCCACTTCGATGAAAGAGGTGAACTGGGAGGTGCTTCAGAGCGGAGTTGCCTGCTTGCCTGGTAAGGGGCACAAAGGGAGTCTGTCTGGGTTGCGGCCATTCGCACAGGGGCTGAAGCGCCCTTTCTTCTGCGTGAGGAAGTCGCTGCGTATGGAGAGGCTGTGTGGGTGTGTGAAGCGCCTTTTGTGCCACGCTGCAGACTGCCCTTCTGCACTTCCATTTTATGCAAAGTAGAGGGGCATGTTCATTCCTTCATGGACTATTTTGGAAAGTTCCATTCCCCCTGCTGGATAGGTAGGGCAAGCCTACCGCTGATAGGGCATGGCCGTGGGCTTCCAACTTCTCCAGTTAGAAGTGTCTTGGATAGCCGGAAGGGATGAAGTTTGCTTCAGAGTAGAATTTGCCCCGTTCCCACTGCCGGGATCTACTCCAGACATGGATGCAGCCTGTGGCCAAAGTGGGCATGTTTCCAAGCCCTCCGCGTTTTGTTTGCCAGGGCATTTGGCCAGAGTCAGCCGGTGTGTTGGCCAGCACGGCCTGTCCTGGCTCGTGCCTCACGGCAGGCATTTCCCTGCACACTCAGTGCATGATTGCCATTCCTGCCCCTCAGCAGGCTGAGCTGAGTGCTTCTTTTCAGGCACCAGAGACAAATCCGGGCGAGCAGTGGCTGTCGTCACAGCGAGGAACGCCATTTGGCAGAACCCCCGTTGCAGCGCCACTGAACTGGCGTGCCTCCTCCTGTACTTGCGCAGCACGCTCAGGTTGGTGAGGTGCAGCGGGAAGGGGGCCTTGGCAAGTCTGCAGGGGCACACGGTATTGCTCTCTGGAGGGAGGTCTCCACTGGCCTGGTCCAGGGACGCCATGTGGCTGGGATGGGTCTCCAGCAAGTGATGCTGCTTTTCTCATTTTTTGGCTTGCAGGCCCGAGTGCCAGGCTTTGGGCCTGGTCGTCCTGGTAGATGCCCGGCGATGCTCTCCAGTTCCAGCTCTCTTTAAAGCTTTTACCATCCTGCAGGTAAGTCCATGGCTGCCCACTGCTCTTCCCCACCGTTCCCAGGGCCTCAAGGAGTGAGTGGAAGACCTCCTGAACCCACTGGGCCCGCCCACCACCCAGCTGCGGAGCGGTTGCTTCTCCCAACCACAGCTTACATAATTGTCCTCCTCCTTCTCTCAGTCTGATTCCTACCACTGCCCTGTGAGGTAAGTTAGGCCAAGAGTCAGTGGGTGTCCCAAGGTCATCCAGGGAGCCTTGTGGCTGACTGGGAACTGGAACCCAAAACTTCTGGATCCCAGTCTGTTTTCACCACCATACTGCACTGGCTCTCTATTTGTAATGGCTATGAACAGGTGTAGTAAAATGCAGCAGAAGGAAACCTACACGTGGTTTCCTCAGGAGACCTGCTTTTTCATGCATACTTTGGAAGATCCCTCCTTGCTGGTCTTCAGTTTTTCTGGGCCTTTCCAAAAAAAGAAGGACTTGTGTTGCAAACATCAGTAAAAAGAACCAGCCGCCTCTCCTGCAAAACAGACTGCCAAGGTGCCGCCACTCTGACTGCGCATCAGGCAGCCAAGGTGCACCCGAGCTGAGCCGTGGCCCCTAAAATCTGCTTCTTCCATTGCAGGACTGTGACCCTCAGAGCATCCATGGAGCCCTCCTGCTCGTGGAGAAGGATGCCCCCTTCCGGATAGAGAAGCCCTCCTCTGTACAGGTGCGCAGGGAGGAGCTCAGCTTCGAGCAGGCCAGCCTTAAATTTCCCCCACTGTTTGGAAAACAGCAAGGATGGATGGCCTGCAGAAAGGCTGTCCGTGTCCGGAGACCACAGGAAAGGGGGGCATTCAAAAGCGTGGGAGGGAAGGTGCCTGGACAGGGCAGCAGGGACACTGCATCCAGGGTGGAAGACATGGCTGGGGCGAAGCTGTGAGTGGGGCAGACGGACACTTCCGGCCTTCCACTCTGCCCTGACACAGCCGTCCTTTCCTCTCCCTCCACAGTGTGAAGTTCTCACCTCCATGAAGGCCCTGCACAAGCACGTCGAGGGGGCGCTCCTGCCCCTGGAGCTTGAGGGGGCGCTCCCCTATTGCCACCAGGACTGGCTGCGCTTCCGGATGGTGAGCGAGACCTGCGCTGCATGGTTCTGAGGGGCCCAGAGCCCCATGACAGCACATCCCCCCGGACTATGGGACTGGGAAGTGTGGGGAGAAAGGCTTTCTGGGTCTGCGTGGAAAAACTTTGGCGTCTGGGGAGCCAAGTGTGATTTGTCTTTCTGATTTCTGGCTGCAAGAGGAGCACAAAGTGGGGAGGCACAGAGATGGGTGCATCTGTGTGAATGTGCATGAGCTTGTGTACACACAGGCCTGCCTGTGTGTGTCGCAGGTGTCCGGTGTCCGGAAGCCGCTTGCAGCATCTGCGGCTTTTCTCGGTGCACAAGTTTTCCTGCACATGCCCCAGCTAAGCAGGTGAAGACGACCTGGCTTAGAACAGTGGACTCCACGCCTGTGCTGCCCTGGGAAGGCCCCGGGACAGCCAGCAAGAGCTGCCTGGCTGGGAATCTCCTCGGTTCCAGGGGAGGCCAGGAAAGCGGCCCTTCTGGAAGCATGGCAGGGCGAGCCTGGCTCCCAGTCCTGGGGACGGCTCTGGGCCAGACAGACACGGGGCGGGGGGTCCGGCTCAGGGCCAGGCTGGGCGGCGCCCTCCACTCCCTCGTGAGGGGCTGCTGGCCAACGTGGCGCCACTGTGCCACCCTTGCTTGCAGCGTCTGGAGCACTTGCTGCAGGGGTGCCAAGGTGCCTGCGCATTCCTCGGGAGCGCCATTCGGGCGGTGGAGTCCAGCCGATGGCCAGAGAAAGCTGAGGTGAGTCTCCTCCTCCACCCTTGCCAGCACCCTGGCATGCGGCAAAGTGCCTCCGGCTGTGGGAAGGGCCAGAATGGTGGCACAGGCTGCAGGCCGGTCTCCAGCAAGGCTTGCTCAGGCGCTCGGGAGAGCAGGCGGTTCCCTTCCCCTCCTGAAGAGCTGCTGGCGCAAGCGGGCCGCGTCTGCGCTTCTGGGCGATGGGGCCAGGTCTGCTGCTGGCTGTGCTGTAGCAGCTGACGCTCCAACGAGCTGGCCCTGGGGCGGGGGGCGCCAGCGGGGTCGGCACAGGCGAGCGCCATCGCTCAGAAGCAGGTGGCTGCCCTGGCAGGAAAATATGGGCCGCCGAGCATGCAAAGGGCAATTGCCCAAAGCTGGGGAGGCTGGCCCCTGGCCCTGGCAGAGCGGCCGAGGTGGGCCTTGCCCCGGAGCCGGCCCCAAGTGCCTGGTGAAGTGGCCAGGTGTGGCAGTTTGCCGTGCAGCACAGAGGAAAGGCTGTGGGCAGACTGGGCCCCCGGGAAGCAGCCAGCAGGCCTGTCCCCCTCCTGGCCGGCAAGGGACCAAGCAGCGGAACGAGCAGGCTCAGGGCTGGGCTGGCCAGCAGGGCCTGCCCTCTTCCAGGACTGCTGTGCAGACAGGCAAGGCCGTTGCTGGGGCCCGGGCAGAGCAGCGGCTCTGCTCAGCCTCGCCAGGGTGGGGAGGGGACCCTCCCGCTGTGTGTGGCCCAGGCTGAGTCGTGGGGCTTCTGTGGACTTCCCAGGAGGTGGCGGCCCTGCTGAAGGACGACAGGCGGCGCATGAAGGTGGTCCTGGACGATGCTCGGCTGGCAGCGCTGCAGCTGGAAGGCGGGGCGCTCCTGGCCCGGCTGAGGAAGGAAGAGTCCTGCGTGACTCTGTCAGAGGGCTACTGGTGAGGCTGCCGTTGGTGGGAAGCGGGAAGGAGGGAGAGAGGCCCAGGCAGGGCGGGACGTGCCCTCTGGGCAGGAGGGTGCCACAGCCTGAGGGCTGCTGTGAGGTACAGGCCCCAGCCCCGATCAGCCCCCTCCCAGGGCGGCTGCTGTTAAGGAAGCTCCCCTTGTGGCCCAGTCGGGGCGTCCAAATCCTCCAAGGACCTCCAGGTGGCACACCCCTCTTTCCCTGCCCTACAAGTGTCCTGGGGCTTCCTGGCTTCTGCACAGACTTCACCCTCGCCCGGAAAGATTGAGATGCCTCTGCAAAGATTTGGTGATTGACAGGAGCAGCTTAAGGTTAAAACAGGCTGGCATTTTTGGCCTCGTGGCTCCGCCCTGGGGCCTCACGGGCCCTCTCCGGGCATGGAATGCAGGTTTCGCCCCATCGCAGTTTGTCCCAACATGGCGCAATGTGGCCGTACTCCATTCCGTCAGGGAAAACTGAGCCAGACATTCTCCAGCTTGGATTCTGATGCAAAGAGCAGACTGAGGAGGGTTTGGCCTGCGCCCGGCGAGCGTGGGGTGCGGGGGATGCCGGCCTCTGCCCCAGTCGGGCTCCTTCAGTAGTGCCTGTTTCAAAGCGGCCTCTGCCTTTAGTTTTCCCTTGCACGCTGCTCTGTCCAGTGAGTCTCGCCGTCTCAAGAAGTCCGGCTCTGCCATTTTGCTTCCAGGGAAGGGTCTGACATGATTTGATTTGGGACCCACTTGCCTGTCCTTCTGTCGGTCCAGGCCGTTTGCAAAGCTCTCCTGAAGCACCATGTTTCAAATGCATCCAGTTTCGGCATTTGAGCCACTCCATTTCAGCATTTGAACTGCTCCGTTTCTTCTGCGCTTCTAATTTCCACAGTAAAACTCTGCGTGTGTCTGACCAAAACTGTCCCATTGCAGCCCACACTGGTCCACGCACACCAAGCACTGCGGTGCTCGGGCGTCCCTCTTCTTGCTTCGGGTTTCTGGCACGCCTGGACCCATGCTTCTCATGTGCGGAGTTTCAATTGTATGCGTTGTGCGGCACCCGCTGTTCCTTTCACCGCTGTGCATGTCGGCACTCAACTGCCCTCTGGCTTTGGTCTAGTTGCGTCACTCGCAACGGTGCTATTTTTACCTGTCCTTTGCTCCTCCCCAGTGGCTGGTCAAGTACCTTCCGACCTGGAAGTCTCGTCCTTTGGCACTCCCTCTTGTTTCCCTTTGGACTGAGTCATCGTTGGGTTTTCAAGACAAGAAATATTCCAAAGAGGGAGATCGGTGCCTTCTGTGCAGCACCGGCCAGAGTGGCCTTGAGTGGCACTTGGTTGCCTGCGGAAGAGCCTCCCTCGGGGTCCCCTCCTCCAGTGCTGCCCAGCAGCTGCCCTTCTGGGGTGCCTTCTCCCTCACCTCCTCTTCCACCAACACAACCAAACATCACCCCTGGGGAAGCCTCCTTGGGCGGGCAGGGCATGGTGGCGCCGCTGCTCCTGGCAGAGGCTGGCTGCCTGCCGGCCAAGGTTCCTGGCATCGCAGGGGGCTCCTTCGCTGCTGGTGTTCAGCTGGAGTGCTCCAAAGGACGGGGCCCCCTGGGGTCCTCGGCAGGGTGACTGCCCAGCCCGAGGGAGAACCCACCTTCCTCGGGGGCAGGCTGGCCACCACCTGCACACAGGGAGCCCCTTCCGCGGCAGCCCAGGCCCGGGTGCAGGACAGGGCACCGAAGCAGCTCCTCCTGGAGAAAGGGCTGGGGCACCGTCCTGGAGGAACAGGGAGGGGGAGGACACGAGAGCAACGCATGAGAGGGCAAGTGGTCTGGGGGCAGTGGCTGCCGTGGGAGGGGGGCCCGCCCCCCCCTCACAGCCCCGCCGAAGGGCCCTGCTCATGCTGCTGGTGACGTGTGGCAGCCGCTGGCTCTGCCCCCCACAGCCCCTTGGCCGATCAGCTGGGCAGCAGGGAGAGTGGGCGGAGCTGCCCCTCTCTGGGGGCTCGCTAGGCCTTGACTGGCCCAGGCGGGAAGGGCCTGCCTGGGAGGCCTGGGGTGGGCTGTCGCGCGGTGGCTGGGCGGGGGCCCTGGAGCAGCGGCTGGCGCCCCTGTGCGCTGGAGAGTGCCCCCTCCCCATGGCTCCGGCCAGGCTTTGCTGGCCAGGACGGTCTCTCCTGGGCTGAGGGATGGCCCACGGGTCCCCACAGCCCGGCATTGCTCTCCAGAGCTCTTGGAGGCAGCTGGGCGCGGGCTGGTGCTCTCCTCACCATGGGCAGGGATGCCCGCCCCTCACCTCTGAGGCCAGGCCTGGAAGTTGCTTCTGACTCCCTGAGAATGCCTTCCTCTCAGCACAAGGGGGTCCCCTCCCCCCCTCCCCCCCAACACGCATGCAATGTAATTCCTCCCCACCCACTTTCCTCTCCAAGGGGGGGCACCAGCTTGGGAAAGAACTGCAGGAAGGAGGCTTGCCAGAATGAAATTTTAGGCATGCCATGCGAGTCTAAAATTATCCCAGGACAGTCCAAGATGTTTGGAAGCTTCCTTCCTCCCCCTCCCACCAAGTGAGGAGGACTAAGCAGGAGCTGGGCGGGGGGGCAGCCAAGCCCACACAGAGCCCCTCCTTCAGCCCGACTGGGCCTGAGAAACGCCTGACTTGGAATGCTTTGATCTGGACCGTGTCTTGGGGAGCTGTGCAGCCCTCTGGTCCAGTCTGCGTGAAATGGACTTCCAAGGGGGGGCGCAGGCCCAAGTGAGAAAAGGGCTCGCCCTCCCACCAGAGACCACCTCTGCAGTCACAGGCCCAAGTGGCCATGAGCTGCTCGCTCCGGAGAGCTAGGCATGCGCTCCACCCCACAGCCCTGGCCTCCCTGTCTGTAGCCCCAGCATCCCTTGTTGCTCGGGCTGCTTTGCCCCAGCTCAGCCCACCTGTTCCTCCCAGCTCTGGCCTTTGCATTGGGAAACTTGCCGTCAGGTGGAGATTCTTACCAAGGGACAGAGGAGGGGAGGCGGTCGTAAGAGGCTGGGCGGCCACTGCTGACCAGCTCTGCTTTTCCACTCAGGGATGCCCTGGAGGCAGCCAGTGCCCTCTTCAACCAAGTGGATGAGGGCATCCACCAGCTGGTCTTGGCCTCCAACAAGCGCATCCAGGCCCTGGAGCTGGTGACAGACTTCGAGGCCTTTGACAGACACTTTCAGGAGGTTTGTGGCTGACATTTTGCTGGCATCTGCATTTATTTAAAGCACAGTCCCCTAGGCCTGACCCAGCACCCCTGTGGAGGAACCTGCAGCTCTGCGGGCTGCAAAGCGGCCGGGAGAGGGGGCAGGCAGGTGGTGGCCACAAGAATTGGAACTGGAGTTGAAACTCCTAGCCCGCCTGACCCGCCAGGACATGCAAAGGCCCTCCCCAGCCAAAGAAGTTGAGGTTTTCTCATTTAGATGCTGCCGATACCAAAAATCCCAGGGCAGCTTCCAGTTCCAACCACAACAAAACTGTTCAAAACTGAATATAATGAAGCAGATCAGCAATAAAAAGAGGCCCACGTGTGGCAGAGACAAGAGCAGGTTCGATGATGCCCCAGACTGAAGGGGGAGATGTTCCCTAGCAGGAGCCCTCCCCACTCCTGGAAGCAGCTGGCTGTGCTTGTGAGGGGCTTTGATTCACCCCGCGTGGGCAGCGGCTTCGGCTTACCTTCCCACAGGTTGGCCGCTGGATAGAGAATGTTGGCCGGATACGCCTCGGGGAGCTGAGCCAGGTGGACGAGGCCTCGGAGGACCCGCTTCAGCTGCAGCAGCAGTTCCAAGACTTCGAGCTTGTGGCAAGTGTACGTGCTGCTCTCCTGCGACGGCAACATCTCATTTCTGCCGTGGTTGCTCCACTGCATCCCTGAGGTGCGGAACCCATGCTGAGAGCTGGTCATGCGAGGAGCAACAGCGGCGGCGCTGTCCAGAAGGGTTCTGGCCGAGCTCGAGCAGCTCCGGTTTCTCTGGTCCTCCGAACTCGCCTTTGTGCTGCCAGCCGTGTCTGGGGCTCACCTGTGGACCCCCAGCCACTGCTGCACTGCGCGTGCACCCCCTTGTCCTCGCCCCAGGAAGGCTGCAAGACCAAGCAGGAGCCGCCAGCTTGGCCTGACCCTGACTCCAGCCCTCCCAGCAGTGCTCGGGGGGGAGGGTGCCTTCCCGCACAACGCAGTGACTCCCGCTTTGGCTTTGCTTGCAGGAGTATTGCCAGAAAGGCTGGGAAGCCCTGAGCGAGATGGAGGGGAAGTGGTCAGAGTGCTCCCCTGCGGGGCGGTGTGTCGACTACGGAGTCAAGCTGCAGGCGTGCCGAAACCAGCTGCAGGGGTTCTGCAGCCAGCTGGAAGCCTGCAGGGCCCGAATCGGGCAGGCCACCTGGCTCTACAGGTTCCTGGAGCAGGTGAGCAGCCGCTTTCCCCAAGACCGGCCGCGGCTGTTGCCCCTTGCCCGCCAAAGGAGGCCACCTGGCACTCCGCGGGGGCGACACAGCAGGGCACGGGGGGAGAGGAGGCTCTGGGCACCCTGTGCCGGCCTCTTCAGTCACACCTGCCACTGAGCCGCCCCCGCCTGGCGCTTCCTCACCGCCTGTTCCAGCTGGAAAGGTGCCTGCCAAGGACTCGGACGCGCTTCCTGTGGCTGCTGTGCACATGGTCGCTTCTGAGGCCCTCCTGTGGGGCAGGATGCCCACCGGCTCTGTCACGTGGGGCTACAGGCAGCCGAGGCTGAACACGTCCCCACGTTGGGACAGAACAGGAGCTGCGGGGAGCGGAAAGAGGGGAGGCTCTGGAGGCCAAGCAGGGCTGCAGAGGTTGCGCCCAGCCCAGCCTCAGCCCATGCCCTGTGGGCAGGCCTGCCCAGGGGCCGCACTGGCAGCCAGGCCAGGAGCAGCGCCCAGCAGACAGGGGCCCAGCAGAGGCACACACAGCCTCACCAGGGAGCCACAGGCCCCCGGGGCGCTGAGCAAGGCCTCGTCTTGCCCTGCAGGCACACGCGTGGGCCCTGCAGGGGATGCACCACCTAGACAGCATCCAGGAGGAGGACTGCAACTCTCCGGAGCGCTGCGGTGCCGTGGCCACCTGCCTGGAGGGCCACCTGGGGCAGCAGCCCCGGCTATTTTGTGAGGCCAAATTCCAGGAGACGCGGAAGCTGGCCAGTCAGCTCGGGAGTAGCCAGGCCCTTGCCCGGTGGCAGTTTGTGTGGTCCGCCTACCAGGAGATGCTGCTGGCCTCCAGGAGGCGGCTGGAGGCTGCCCGGAGCACCCAGAGGTCCTGGAGGGCCGGTCGGGAGCAGGCACCGGAGGGAGAGGCCGACGGGCCCAGCCGTGAGGGGGCTGCTTGGGCCACAGGCACTGACCAGGCGCACTCTCACCAGGGGCCTGGTTGCCCCCCTGGGTGGGCTGGAGAAGGGGCGGGAGGCAGCTGTGAGCATGGTGGGGCTGGGGAGCGGGTCACAGCCCAGGCCGACTGCAGGGCGTGGAGGGTTGCCCGCGAAAGTCCAGGGCCACCGTGCTGTGTCCAGGAGGAGGAGGAGGAGGAGGAGGAGGAGAGGGGCTCACTGGAGAGCATCGCAGAGGCCTGGGGGGCCTCGTCTTCCCCCTCCCCGCAGCAGCCACCTCCCAAAAGGACCTTGAGGAAGGCCCAGAGCTTCGACCTGCCCTGTGCGGAGAGCCTGCACTCCAGCTGCCAGCGAGCGTTGAGTGAGCCGCCCCGCCACGGCCTGGGGCCTGGCCCCAGCCACCCCGGCGTCTTCATCAAGGGCCTGGAGGTCAGCGGCACCCGGCTCGCACAGGGGGACTCTGGGGCCCAGCAGCAGCCTCCCTTGCCCTGCCGGGCTGCCAGTGGAGAGCCAGAGGAGCGGCCGAGCGGGGTCCCTGAGCCAGAGGCCAAAAGCTGGGGCAGGTAAGCACCACTTTGGCCTCCTTGGCCTGAGGTCCGCACTGCAAGCCGGCCCCGAGGGAGCCGTGGGGTGGGGGGAGTGGCATCCCCGGGACAAATCAGAGCCAGAGGTCTGGACATAAAAGCTAGTTGGACAAGTACAGCAGCACCTTAAAAGCAGCCCTAACAGCTTCCACCACAATTTTGAAAGCCAAGTTAAAAAGAGGCGCCTGCAACTGAGCCCCTTCCTGGGCGCAGGCGGCACGGGGACCCATTGCTGCCCCGCGGGGCGGTGCTCCAAGGGAGGCAGCATCGCAGAGGAAGGGCCTCGCGGGGCTGCGAGCTGCTGCGGGGTCTCAGGCTTGCTCGGGCAGCCCTGTGCCCCACCTCCCCCCGACCCTGGCGTGGTGCATAACCTGCCTGCCCCCCCATACCTCGTCACACGCCTTGCGCCCGCGCCTGCCCGTGCCGCCCCCGTCCATGCGCACTGCCAGCACCACCTTTCCGGCCCACGCCCAGCACCGGCAGCTTTCAACTGGCCCCCTGGTGAGAAGGTTTGAGGGCCCGGGGTGAAGAGCTCCTTCCGGCACAGCCATCCTATAGCCAAAGCCCTCTGGGCCGCTCGCAAAGATTAAGAGCACGACGCTCCCCTGGTCTCGCAGCAGGCTGCGGCACATTGCGGACGAGATGGTGGTGACGGAGCGGGAGTACGTGCGCTCCTTGCGCTTTGTCCTGGAGAGCTACTTCCCCGAGATGGAGCAGCCCGGCCTGCCCCAGGAGCTGCGGGGGAAGCGGAGCGTCATCTTCGGCAACCTGGAGAAGCTTCACGAGTTCCACAGTCAGTACTTCCTGCGGGAGCTGGAGAACTGCCGCAAGCACCCGCTGCGCGTTGGCCACTGCTTCTTGAGACACGTAAGCGGGGTGGCCAGGTATGGGGCCCGCGTGCAGCAGGGCCAAGCACAGGGACCGGGCTGAGTGGAGCCCCAGCCCGAGCCCGGCTCTTGCCTGTGGGTGAGCGCACAAGGGTGCACTGAAAGGCCTTTCCTGGGCGCTGGAGGCTGCTCCACTCGCCGGGCAGAGGGGTGCTTCCAGCTGGGCTGCTGGGCTCTTCTCCCCCAGAGGCAGTGCGCAGGTGAAGCTGTAGCCACATTCCTGCCCCACCTGCAGAAAGACCAGTTTGGGATGTATGCGCTGTACAGCAAGAACAAGCCCAAGTCTGACGTGCTGCTGGCCAGCCGCGGGAACGTTTTCTTCAGGGTGAGTTCTGCGCTCAGCAGGAGTGGCTTCCGCATCCGGCCGCCCTCCGGGGGCCGGGCCGGGGCGGCACAGCATGGAGCACGGGTGCTCAGCTCGGCCCCCCGCTGTGGCCCGCAGGTCAAGCAGCTGCAGCTGGGGGACAAGATGGACCTGGCCTCCTACCTGCTGAAGCCGATCCAGCGCATGAGCAAATATGGCCTGCTGCTCAAGGACCTCATCCGGCAGGGCGAGGGGGCGCAGGAGCACGAGCTAGTCTGCCTGCGGGCTGCCGAGGAGATGGTGCGCTTCCAGCTGCGGCATGGCAATGACCTCCTGGCCATGGACGCCCTCCGCAACTGTGATGTATGCGTGGCTGGGGGGTGGGGCCCCAGGAGCACTGTTGTGAGCCGGGGGGCTGGGGGGCATCCTTGCCCACACCAGCTGCTGCCATAGCCTGCCCAGGAAGCAGCCACCACGTGCGGGAGGAAGGGCGCCTGCTGGCCTGGGGCTGGAGGCCTGCTGGGTGTCCCCTGGGCCGCCCCCACCCGCATGGCACTCATGCCCCAGCAGGGCGGCCCTGCGGTTTCTGTGCCAGGTGAACCTCAAGGAGCAGGGCCAGCTGGTGCGCCAGGAGGAGTTCGGCGTGACCGTGGGCCGCCGGAAGTGCCAGCGCCATGTCTTCCTCTTTGAGGAGCTGATTCTTTTCAGCAAGCCCAAGCGGGTTGAGGGCGGCCTGGACGTCTACCTCTACAAGCGTTCCTTCAAGGCAAGGGGCTTGCCGCGCTGCTCCGGGTGGCAGGAGGAACTTGGGGATTGTGAAGGCGAAGGAGCTGCAGTGGCAGCATCCCGGCCCGGCCCATGTCCTTGAGCATGGGTCACATGTAGCCACACGGCTGCCCCTCGGCCTGTTGCGCGGGATGGACTGTGTGCACGGCCCCCGCTGCCCATCGAGGCCACATGTGGCGCTGCGTGTTGCAGCAGGTGCTTCCGTGCGCATCTCCTGGCCAACTCGGCAAGCACAGGCCTGGCCTTCCTGCTCAAGCCCACCGCGGCTGGACCTCCAGGGCCGGCCCCTTCCTTTCCGCTGCTCTGTGTTAAATGGGCCTGTGGCCCCTTGGGTTGCCCCCCTGCCTGACCCCTGCTCTGTCCCCGCAGACCGCAGACATCGGCCTGACGGAGAACTCGGGTGAGAGTGGCCTGCGCTTTGAGATCTGGTTCCGGCGGCGGAAGGCCGGCGACACGTACATCCTGCAGGCCAGCAGCAGAGAGGCCAAGCAGGCCTGGACACGCGACATCGCCCGCCTCCTGTGGGAGCAAGCCGCCCGCAACAAGGGTCCGTCCCTGTGCCTGCTTGCCGGGCAGGAGGGTGGCACTCACTCTTGCGTCAGCCGTGGGCCATGGACCTGCAGTGCCCAGAGGCCTTTGGCCGGGAAGGGCCTTTCTGCCAGAAGGGTTCCCTGGCAGGCCCTGGGCCAAGCCCGGGAGGTGCCTGGTGTCCAAGGAGGCCCTCGGGTGGGCCTGAGGCAGCTGTGCCAGGCGGAAAGTCTCACCCAGCACTGCCACTGTCGCCCCACCAGAAATCCGCCTGCAGGAGATGGTGTCGATGGGTGTGGGGAACAAGCCCTTCCTGGACATCAAGCCAAGCGAAGCTGCTATCCAGAACCGTGCCATCGATTATCTCATGAAAGGTCGAGGTGGGGGCAGCCCCGGCCCCGGGTGGCCCTGCTCAGGGTTTGGCAGCTGCAGTCCAGGGCACTCCTGACCTTTGCTCTGTGTCTTGCTTTGTGGCAGGGGCACGGACCCGGGCCTCCATCGCCGTCTCCCTCTTTGACCACACCGATCCCTACAGGAGGTCGCAGGCTCCTCCACCTGCTGGTGGCCCATCCTCCTGCTCTGTGCTTGGTCCTCTCAACCTGCACACATACCAGGACCAAGCCCTGCTGCCAAGCGTGCTGGCTGGCAGCCGGCCTTTCTGCGCCAGGGCTGGCATAGAGGAGGAGGCCGAGAATGAGACGGGCAGCCAGCCTTCCCTGGGTACGCACAACCTGCCTGTCCCCAGGGATGGGGCAGCCCCAGAGTTCCAACGGGCAGGGCTGGTCTGTTTCCTGGGAGAGCTCCTGGCCACCTCTAGTCTCCTCCTCTCTCCGCTAGCCACAGAGAGCTCGGGGTCCTCCTCCCAGTGCATGTCTGGCAGCGGCTCCAGCAGTTCGGACAACGGCTGTACCTCTGCCCTCCCCCAGGGGAGCCTCCGTGAAGACCTGGGCCCACTGCACTTCCCCTCAGCAGGCTCTTCCTTGGCTCCGCTGCTGGAGGACAAGCCCCGCTCTCCCAAGAGCCAGTATGTGTCAGCGGTGAGTAAGCCAGACCCTGCCACACACCACTGGTCCAAGCCAGGCAGTCTCTCGAGCTCTGCCCCCAATGGATGTGCACACTCCATCATGCTTGGAGGCTGCCCTCAGTCAGGGAGCCTTCCATCACACCAGCTGCGCACAGACCCAGCCGAAGGAAATCGGCAGATGGGAAGGCGTTTTCCGGGATCATCAGGCAGACCAGGAGTGGGGGGTGCCCCCGCTCACTGCCCTCCATGCCTTGCACACTTGCTCAAACGGCCTGCGGGCCCCGTGTCGCCTGCAGCCTGTAGGGCTTCTCCGGACCGTGCCAGGTGCAGAGCAGGCGAGGGACCAGGGCCAGCCCCTCTCCTAGCAGAGGCGGTCCAGGCGAGGGTCCCCCGGAGGCCCTAACTGGCTGGCTGGTGCTGTCTTGCAGGTCTGAGCACCGCTTCCCTTGGCATTTCTGAAGAGCCAGGAGGATGGAGCAGCACACCGGGCCTGGCTTGATGGGGCACGCCACCGAAATGGGCATGGAAGGCCGCCCTGTTGGCAGTGGACCACGGCTGTGGGGGCTGGAGTGGAGATTTGGTGGGTCTCACAGGGCAGCCTCCAGAAGGGCAGTGACACCTCTGCAGAGCCCATGTGCCTGAGGGGCAATTCCTGGGCTCTTGTTTTTCTGCAACTGACTGGTTTTGTTCTACAAGATGCACATTTTTAAAGTTTTTGAAATGTAGCAGAAAGCAAACTATTTATTTTTAAAGCAGAGGGAAACGTTCTCTGCACATTCAAGACCTTGTTGCCCGGGCTGGTTCTCTTTTAGTTTGGCCTGGTTTGCAGATAATTTATTGCCTTGTTTTTACTCTCCAAGCCTTCCATAGATTCCACATGCTGCTGGGCGCCTCTCCATGTTGTCCCTCGCTGCCACCAACAGTCCCCTCCCGACTGGCAGCACACCCAGAAGCTAAACGGGTTTCGGGGGAATGGCCACTGCAGGAAGCCGCGGGACAAGCCCCATCTCCAAGCACCGCTGCGTTCAGAGCAGGCACCTGCCCAGCCTGCCCCCTTCCTCCCCATAGGCTGCCTTCCGCCTCCAGAGTGTTGGCATGGGGAGCCTCTCGCTCATGTGCAGCCAGAGGGGTGTGGCCACCGGCCAGCCTCTTCTGCTTCTGGCCAGGCAGCTGGAAGTTCCCAATTTTGCACCTCTGGCTTATCCCTAGGGAAGGGAAGGGGCTCCCAACCATTTGCGCCACGAACTTGATGGGTGCCGTTTGTGGGCTGCAGGCAGTGGAGGCTTCGTCTAGCACACTCAGGAGGATGGTGCATTGACCACTCTCTGCTGTTGCCATTATTTCAGCTTCACTCTTCAAATGTCCTTCCTTTGCCTCTAGAGTATTAATTGCATTCTCTTTCAGTCTTAAGATTCAGGTGCCTTGCCTTGCCTGGATTTTTTCAACCTTTTTTTCTTTCTCTGAATGGAATGCTAGACCGCATGATAGTGAGGTGTGGGGATAACAGCTAGATAGGAGTTACAGCAGAAGTTTCCAAGCTGAAGAGAAGGGGTTTAACTTTGAGACAGGAGGGAGCCCAGGAACTGTTTTGCTTGAGCCAGAGTTGGCCACGTGCTGGAACTCCTCAGTTTAGGCCTTTTGTTGATGTTGTTCCTACTGGGAGGGGATGAGGTTCCTTCCTGTGTCTGGCACCACCGTTATGTTTCAGGTTTGACTGATTTTTTTAAATGAAAGTTGTTTCTTCCAATGCATTGTTGCTTGACGGTGTGATTATTTCTAAGAGAAAACCTCGTCTGTAGGTAAAATCCAGTTTTCAGATACTGCCTGCCTGGGGCACGATTGCCAAATAAATCCAGCTCAAATGACACCTTTCCCTTTGCGCTCACATCAAGAGAATATGCGAGCAGTCTTAGCACAGCCATCCCATGGGCCTCACTCAGAGAAAGCACACCAGGGGCCGCCTCCTTGCAGGGCGCAGCCAGCCACGAGTTGGCCATGCCCCTTCTCCAGAAAGCAATGCAGGTTTGGCACCTTGGGGCTTCCACTGCAAGCAGGAGCAGAGGTGGCTCGTGCTCTTACTGTGTGCATGAACTCATCTCTCCCAGAGCCCCTTCACAGAGTACGCAAGAGGAGATGGTGGGATTCCGGCTGGCTCACTTGGAAGGAACGTGCTCCCCAGCCACGGAAGACACTTGCATTTCGTCAGGCTGGGAAGCCGGAGGGCACCACCAGCCGCTCTGAGCTGTGACTTTCATACATATGACAGACTTTGCAGATCACATCTGTTTCGACACAGGAAACACGCCATCCCTTTCTTGCAGGGCAGAAAACACAGGGCCCCACTTTTATTAAGACTTCTGTAAATATTTCCCTATGACAAAATGAGAGAGTGATTTAAAGTATCCCCTTTTTATCAGCAGGTCCATGCAGCAGCTGTACTTCCAGGCAAATGGCAGCGTAAACTGAAAGAGAGAGGGAAACACATTAGCAGCCAGCAGAAGGCGTGGCGGGGAGCTGTGGCACTCACCTGGGAGGTGCCACTCACACGGAGAGGCAAAGCTATGGCGCCACCATTAAACAATTGTGTTACTAATTGTTTAAGAAGGAGGGGTGGAGATGCAGGTGGTGATGAAAAATGAAGAGAGGTCCCAGAATTTTAACCAACAGGCTGCGTATAGCAGGTCAGGCCTGCAGTTGGATCTCGGCCCCTCCAAGGACCCCTTCCCCGCAAATGGCAGTACCTCAACCCATCTCAGCAGCTTATCGCAAGCAGGTGTGTCAGCTTTGAAAGGTGCTGTCTGCAGCAGGTCGGCCACAAACTCCTTCGCCGTGATCTGCAGGCTCTGAAAGGAGGGAAGTGGCTCAGCCACAGGTTTTGGGGGCTCCCTGTCCCATCTGGCTGCTTCACTTCCATGGATGGAAGCCAGGTGCGGGAAGAGCTGCCGGCGCTTGGGTGGAGGGGAGACTCAGAGGACGGGGTGGGCTCAAGGCCTCTGGGGTACTCGGCATTCTCTTGGAGCCGGAGTCAAGCTGTCAGGTGTGAGCCTGAAGCCCGGAGGGGTGCTCAGGCACGTGCCTCTCACTCCAGGCTGCGAGGAGTGGTGGGGCGAGGGCTGGCCATCCGCTCCGGAGACAACAACCTGCACCCAACCGTTCTGGTGGCCCATGGGCATATCTCGAGCAAGGCTCATGGGCACCCTCAGACTGGCACCGCTCCCTCCCAGGCCAGGGACCCGCCTGGCAACTGCATGTGAGGCAAAGGGGATCCCCGCCACGGCACACGCCTGACTCCCCCAGGGCCTGAAGGTGCAGAACTGGCCGCACAGAAGGCAGGCTTGCCCCCTTCTGAGTGCCAGCCACTCACGCCGTGGTCCTCTCTTCCCTGCACTGGGGGCTACCTCCCATTGCTGCCTGCTCTCTTCCACAGGCACACTCCCTGTGGGCGCTCTCCCCCTTGCCTTGGTTCCTTTAGGGAGGCTCCAAGCCCCACCACGTGACCCCAAATTAATGGGGCATCAACGAAAAAAGAGGAGGGCGGCTGTGTGGGGTGGCTCTGCCAGCAAGCCAGCCGGGCTCTGGGCTAGAAAGGGGAAGGGGCACCCCACGCGGCCCAGCCCTGCTCAAGCGCCCTTTGTCAGCTCACCCACAGCTTCCGCACAAGCAGCTCAACTTTGGCTGTTGTTTCTTTGGGGTCTTTCTGCCTTATGGAATCCAAGATGACATCAGTGAGAAAACAGTGGCACTTTCGAGCATAAAAGATCTCTTCTTGTGACAACGGGAAGCTGAGAAAGACGATATCTAAAAGCGCATGGAATTGGAGAGTTCCATCAAGAGTCAGCCTCAGGCTGCCGCCTCCTCCTCTTCTGGTGTTCTGGTGCTAGAAACGACGCATGAAAGGAGCACCCCTCCCTCCCCTGCCCTGCCCTTGGCCTGGGGGTCACTGGGCTGAGGAGCTGCTACAGGCCAGCCCTGCAGAGGTCGCACCACTGCACTGCTGCCCAAGGCAGCACAGAAACTTTGCAGGAAGTGCACAGCGGCTTGTGATTTCAGCACGTGGAGAATCAGGTGTGCCATTTCCTTGCATACGCAGATCCTGCATGCTCCCACTCAGCAACGTTCTCAGGGTGTCAAAAGGGTCCTGTGAACAGGCTGGGAGGAGGGAGAAAGAGCAGCAGCAGGAGGGAATCACAGCCACCTAGGCCAGCACAACTGCCCAAAGGGGGGCCACTGTGTTCCACCACCCCCATTCCTGCAAGCAGAAGCTCCTGACAAGGCCACCTCGGAGACTAAGCATGACAGGTAAGCCACAGGCCCAGAAGGGTTTCTAACCGGGTCGCCCAACAAGATGCCAGCAGAAAGTCTCCCAGAATCACGGCCAGCCCCGTGCTGCTCAGATCCTCTGCTTTTGGCCTGGCAACTCCAGAGGCCGGGGAACACAGCGTCCCTTCCTGGGGAAGGATGGCCTGAACAAGGCTCAAGTGCTGCAGCACACACCGCGCAGGGCTGCCCCGGCGCCTCCCTGCGCATAGCACAGAGCAGGGCAGCTGGAGCGGCCTCCGGGCATCAGGTGGAGCCCAGGTGGATCCGACTCGAGTCTCCCCGCTGGCTGCCAAGAGGGTCTGGATGCAGTACAAGGGGTTGGGGATTGCCTTTAAAGCCCTGCATGCTTTCAGTTCAGAGTACCTGCAGGGGCGCCTTTGCCCATCTATTCCCCTCGCCCACCGCAGCGCTGTGGGGCTCCTCTTCTGGAGCTTGCTTCTGCCAGGTGGAGGCCCACCCACCAGAGCAGCTTCTCAGGTCAGCTGGTGGAGAGCTGCATCCAGGCACTGCAGTCACAGCTCTTCCAACAGGCCTTCCCAGACTGGCTTTACTGAATATGCTTTTATTTAGTCTTACTTTGAACTGATGTTGGTTTTCAATTCTTGCCAACTGCCCAAGCCTGCTTACTGCTTCAACCCTGCAGCCCCAAAAGCTACCTGCCATCTCTTCTCACACTCAAATGCAAACAGAGTTATGGCGGAGACCGCACCATTTGTCACTGGCTGTGCGAGCTTCACGTCTTCCAGGCGTGTGCTGTAGAGGATGCTGCCCTGATGAGCAGTGCAGGAACCATCACAAGCCACAACTGGAGGGTGCTCAACTTTAAGGATCAGGCTCGTGCTGCTGTGGGGCTCCCCAAGCATAGCGCTGGCTTGCTCCAACCATGTTCCTAGGGAGGCCAGTGTTCAACAGGTTCAAAGCAAAAACAAATCATTAGCAAGGCTTTAACAGGGAAGAGAGCCTGCACGTGAAGGACAGGGGTCGCTTGCCAGATGCTCCGACTGTGCAGTGCAAGTGGCCCTTAGCTCGCAGTGGAAAGCCCAGGGAGCCACATAGTGGCTGAGGGCCACCGAGAAGTGGAGGCGTGCGGTGGAGAGGGGCTCTCCTTCTGCACAGGCCCCCCTCGGGGGGTCCCCCGCCTGCCGCAGGAGACTCTCCTCTGTGGCTTTGTGCCCAGCAGCAAAGCGACCAGGGCCTGTCCAGCATGGCCCTTGGAGCCAGGCAGTCGCTGGGAACACGACACGTGCTGCCTTTTGGCACACGGATGTGCAACGAGCACCAACCAGGACTCTGCTCACGCCTCACTCGGAGAATAATTTCAAGGTTTCTTTCAGCTACTGTTTCTGAACAGCGTGTGAAGAAGTGGCGTGATTAAATGCGGGCTGAGGACCCCACCTGGTCAAGGCACTGCACCACGGCACAGGCAGAGGCTGAAGGGTGGGGCTTTTCCGCGGGCCGCAGGCCAGGCTCCGCGGCAAGCGACAGGCCGCACTGACTGTGCTGCGTGCTGCGTGGCCCCTTCCCACCAGCTGTCTTGCTCACAGGCAACAAGACTTCCTGACGGCCTCTTGCTTGCTCTGGGAGCTGCCGTACCATCCAAACCTGGGCGGCCAATCCCATGGCAGCAACCCACGAGCCCTCCTCCCCTCTTGCTGCTCTTGCCAAGCCTGTCTGGGCTACGGCTGGCGTTAGCCATCCCACGAGCAGCCCGGCAAGCACTCCAGGCTGACTGGCACTGGCCCGTCTCGGCTTGCCATGGCCCTTTTCTCTGCTACCATCTGGCCAGGGACCACCAGTTCTCAAACTGGACAGCAGCCTCCAAACCGACAGACAATGCGATCTGCTCTAAAGCGCACAAGTGGCACAATGGCGGGACGGCTACTGGTTGGCTTCCCGCTCTTCTTCTAATGTGCCAATCTCCTTTCATGAACCAAAATCCCTCACAGCTTTTCCTTCACCCTTTGACAGCTCTTGGGTCAAAGCAAAGCAAAAAAGGGTATCTGCAGCATCGCTGGGTCCATGCTCTGGATCGGCACCTGCTAAATTAAGACTTTCCCATTTTTGCCTGGTGCAGCTGCACACCAGCAATATTCCACCATTCCTTTCTTTACGGATGTTTTTCTTTGAAAGAGGACAGAAGCAGGGGCGGGAAAGCAGGAGCGCTGCAAACTGAAGACAGAGCAGTCCAATCGCCAAGCAAAGCGATGTGGGCGAGGCGAGGTGAGGCGAGGCGAGGCGAGGCGACTGTTCCGTCGAAGCCTCTCTTGGGCACAGTGCTCTTCCAGAGGGGGCTCGGCATGCCTGCCACGCCCTGCTGACCAGCAGCCAGGCCGCATCAGGCAGCGCAAGGTGGAAGTCGAGGCCCGGGAGCACCCCGGCACGGCCCACCACCCTTCCCCGACTCCCGAGCCGCGCATCCAGACAGGCGTGCCCACCTTGCACTCCCTCTCTCTGGCCACACACGACCTTCCTTGCAGGAGCTCCTCCCGCGGGGCACATCTCCTCTGAAGCGCCGTGCCGGCCGGGCTTCTCAAGCCAGTCCTCAGAAGCAGGGCCCCTCGGCATGCCCTGGCCAGCTTCTAGCAGGCCGCCAGGCAGCCTTGGGGCAGCAGGGCTGCTGCTCGGGGGCTCGGGGCTGGCCAGCTCAAGGCACCTGGTTGGAGGCAGGCGACAGGGAGATCTTTCCGGGGTCTCCTCTGCCGTGATACCACCGGGCAGAGGCACCTGCTGGGCCTCACAGCGCCTGCAGTTCACCATGTCCCATCCCTGCACCAGGGAAATTAGCTTCTGGATGGGAGTATCCTGCTTTTCCAGGGGCTTTGTTAAATTGCCCTTGGCGCCCCTTTTCCGCGGGGGGCTTCCTGACAGTCCATAACAGAAGGCACTGGCCCACCCATCTGTGGCCTGACGATGTCCTTCCCAGCTAGTCCTTCGCTTTGCTGCCTTGGCTGGGGAGATACGGGTGTATTTCTCATTCCCTCTGCTGCTCTCCTCCGTGCCTGGTGCATCTCTCATTGGACTCCGGTGACTGGCTTCTTGCTTTAAATCCATGGTAATATGTGAGTGCTCCAAAAAAGAAGAGAACATTATATGTGCGTACGCGTGTGCATCCATGCGTGCGCCCATGGAACTCTATGCTCTTTTCAGGAAGTAAGTCATATTGAAGTCAATGCTGCTTACTTCTGAGTAGACATATGTAGAACTGCGCCACTAGACTACCAAATTGCAATATTGTTCTTCAGCTCGTTTAATCAGCAGAATTCCCATACAGTACATGCAAAATAAAAGTATTTGTTCACAAAGATCTGACGGCTGCACCATGAAGGGTGGAGAATAAATTGGGCTGCAGCAACCTGCCCCCAAATCTGCAGCAAATGTGCTAGAAGCAACCTGCAAGGTGGCTGCCCTCACAGTCATCTTAATCATTCTGCCTTGCAGAAATCTGGGTACGGTGTTTGAAGGGTCTAAATTAGAGTGTTTGGAGTAAAGTAATGCATTTCTGCTCTTGCAGTCTTTAAACATTTATGGCTATCTTTGGTGTCACTGCATTGGAATACTGTGTCCAGTTCTGGTTGCCTTACTTGAAAAAGAACATGTTTGAGTCAGAAAAGGTACAGAGAGGGGCCCCAAACATGATCGGGGGCTGCAGCGTGGTGGGTTCTCCTTTGGAAGAAGCTGGGCCAGGATTTCTCTTTGCCAAGGAGAATGCAAATGTGCTTGATCAAACCAGGCACACTGGGAGGAAAATAGCCTTACCTCCTGAGGGTCTTCACTGGGTTCACCACCCTTCTCTGTCACTGCAGCATCCAGGCTCTTACCTCCGCTTTGAGCTTGCTGCTGCTGCACCCACAGTCTGTAAAGCAAACAGTTCAAATCCGACATTCAGTGCCCCTCTTCACAAAAGTGCTTTCCATGGCCCCGGAGAGGGCTGCTCACTTCTGGATGTGCACTACCCACACCTGACGGGAGATCCTGGCTTGGTCTGTCTTCACCTACTAAGAGGTAAAAGCAGGAGGAGGGGCCGGGCATGTCCCTGGGCCAGAAAAAGCTCACCCAGTCTGTGGGCAAAGCCAGAAAGGAGAGGCCCTCGGCTGCATCAGCTCCTCCGTGCAAGACCCAGGTCATGCAGGCCGCAGGACCTGTTCTGGGGGGGAGCGAGGCACTCGAAGCTCGTGGGGATGTCCTCCCAGCCAGTAACTGCCTCCTTTTAGGAAGGACCTCCCCACAATGCCCCAGAGCTACGGGCTGGAATAGCAGACTGGGGGGAAAGCAGAAGCTACTGAGGCAGATGCAAGCCAGCCAAGGTCATGGCAACATGCTGCTGGGTGAAATGCAAGCACTGGACAGGAAAGGGATGTGGTGAATGGGTGGAAGGAACCCACCCTGCATCCCCACCTTGTCTGGCATCAGGAAGGACAAGCCATGCCCACAATCACCTGCTATGGGAATGCCCTCCTTTCCCACACAGAACAGGAGCCCACGGCAAAGGAGGGGAGCCAAATAGCAGGGCCGGGAGCACCATGCGGCTGGTGCGCAGGAAACCTGTGACTCGGGCTCCAATCCTCACAGCTGCCCACACTCAAGGCCTGGTGCGGCCGGCACCGGCAGGGAAGCCACTGGGTCCAGACAGCAGTGACAAGTGGGCGCAGAATCAACTTGAGAGAGAGGATTCCTCGGGAGGCGGGGGCCAGAGGCACTGCCAGCAGAGGCCGCCACCCAGGTCCTCCCGCTACTCAGCTCTGGAGGGGCCTTTTAACCTGAAACAGCTAGGAACATGAAAGGGGCATGTCCCCTTGTTGAATTAATCAATAGAAGACCTATAATCCAATGAAGTATGCTAAGGTTACTGGAGTCAGATATATTCACCTGTTTATTGCTTGTGTATTAAACTTTTTTAAAAAGAAAAAAAAGAAAAAATGACTTGTGTCCCTAGAGAGGTGCTTGTATGTTTTTTTTAAAGAACCAACTTAATAAACTAGTGGGTCCTTGCATGTTTTAATTATCAGTTCATGTCAACGGCAGGTCAGGGGAGGGAAATGGGGAAGAAAAACCATCAAGATGCTGAAAGCCTGTGAGTTTGGGCTAGTCCTGCATGGAATGAGTGGGCAGGCCTTCAGGTGAGCGCCCGTGCTCTGCCCCGTCCCACGACCCTCTTCTCGCATGCCATCCTGCCTGATGAAGGGATCTGGAGAGCTCGAAAGCTTGCGTGGTTTTTTGGTTGCCCTAAAAGGTTGGCACGCGCTTGTGGCCGGACTAATGAAAGGCACTGCACCATATGCGTTTTGGAATTTTGCTTAGGGTCAGCCCAGCCATGCGACCGCGGATGATCTTGCTCAGCCGCTGCTGAGGTCTTGCGCTGCGTTTCGGCCTCGGGGCACATCTCATTTTGTGCGTGGCTGCTGTGCCACACTTCCAAATGCACGCCTTCGTGCCCTGCGGTGCTGCACAGGTGGCCAGCCTGCTCCCTTCTAGCCGCTGCCACGCACTTGCTTCACGCTCCTGTGACAAAGCAAGAGCCACTGCCTGGTGGCCAGCCTTGATCCCTGCAAGCACCCCTTTGTGTTTGCTCCTTCACCGCCCCGTGTCGAGCGATGCCTGCGCTCATGCAAGGACAGCTGGCGTGCCCTGTGCGTGCCACTGCTCAGCCAGCAAGGTCACAATCCCTTTGCGCTGCCTTTGTCACCGGCGCAGCCTCTGCCCTGCCAGCCCCCAAAGTCACAGCAGCCTTTGAAGGCAGGCCTGAGAAGGCCACCTGGTTTTCTGCAACTCCAGGTTTAGTGGCTGCCCTTCCCACCCCTCAGCATTTCTGCCTCTGAGCAGACAATGCAAAAATGGGCATTTCCTCTGGGCATTACGGGCCTAAAATGTCGAGAAAGGACAAGCACAACTACCTGTACATGTCATACTGATTAAGGGCCTCCACGAGAGCCGGGATCTGATACTCCATCACCTCCTGACATAGAAGAGACCATTCTCTGCCAGTAGGAAATAAAATGCAAGATGCGTTTGTTCAATGCCACTGCCCCAGAACAGTCTGCTACATGCTCCTGCTTTAATCTCGCTTATCAACATGATTGCATTGTTTAAATGCAGCCTCGTCCTCTAAACGGTGTGTTGCTGTCAGACCACTTCTGAACCCCAGAATGACATGATCTTTCAAGCTCAGAAGCTTCTCCTCATTCAAAAGAAAAACATTTGTCTGTGAGCCAGCGGAAAATGGCTTCCCCTAAGCCTTTTCTGTACGAATTCTAATCTTTTCTGAGGAATCCAGACGATGCCCATGCCAAACCATTGGACTGCAGTATTTTCAGGGTGTTTTTTTTCTTTTCAATGCACTCGTTCTGTTCTTACAGACCTCACCCATTGCATAATGCATTTGTACAAGTTGTGTCTGTATCCCCGGAATGCCTGCCTGCCCCAAGTACTGAACCCTGCATGCATTTGCTCAGAACCGGCCTCCACGATCAGGGAACCCTCTGTGAGTACTGTGGTTTCCCAAACACTGCAACTCCATCTGACAGCAGTGCCATCCAGCACGCTCTGAAACAGCTGGCAACGTAAATAATGGGGAATGTTGTCCCCATTTGTTGAAATCAAGCTATTCTTCCATCCAAACATATATAATCAATATATTTTACACCCAAGATATATTACACAAGAGAGATCAGGTTAATTTAGCAGGATTTATTCTTGACCAATTCCTGCTGTCTCCTACCAGCAGGGCACAGGAAACTTAGAGGCCTGCAGTTGAGAGATGGAGATTTCTGAGTTGTGATGGAGCAGGAGTCTCTGGCACTGACCTCTGATACATCATTCCAATCACTGTTCCTTGTTACTGATTTTACGTACTTAACTCTTATTGCATAAATGTGCTGGCTCCTATTCCACCATGTCATCCTGCGCTTCTAAGAGTCCTACCACTGCAATCACCAAAACTACATAGCACAGAATAGCATTTTCACTTACTTAAATTCAGAAGGTAAGAACAATTTGCCAAGCCGAAGAAAGTTGAGGACGTGTCGAAATGTCGGTCCATCTCCATGGATTAGGAGACTCTGGCCATACGCGATCCAACACACCTTTTTGCAGTTTAACAGCAGCTCTGGAAACTGGCAAGGAACAAAACAAAATCAAGACATCGAAGACTAAATGGAAGCATAATCTGACTGAAATAAAGGTATTGTTCAAAGCCTTCCCCCGGGAGCCCAGGGCAGCCCTTGCACAAGCGGCACATGCCCGGGCCATTCTCACCACATCCACAACCAGTGCAGACCTGTGCGAGGCGGGTGCCCCCCATGACCTCAGTGTCCCGGGGGAGCGCCGCTGGCCTGCTGCAGATAGGCACACTGCTGGGGCACACTCCCCCATCCGCTTGAAGAGATGCGCCACACACCGGTCCGCACTGCAGGGGCGTGAGAGCAGCTGCCTCGAGGCGCCACTGCCACGGGGCTCTTGCTTGCTTGCTTGCATGCACTACCTCAAGGGCCATGCCTGCTGCCAGGGACATGGGGAACTGCCGCCCCGGTTGCTCACCCCAAGCCAGGTGGACCAGTTCAAGATGGTTTCATGTTTGGATGAGCCATGCCACCAGCGTGTGGGATGGGGCCAGAGGAAGCATTTGAACAGACTCCTGTGTTACATGATTCCAGCAAGAGTGTTTCATCCAAATATGCTAGTCTGCTATGGACCTAGTATGTTCATGCTATCTCCCTCAGCACCGTGAGGCCAAGGGTGGCTGAGGCCCACTTCTCTAAAATGCATGCAGAAAACATGGTTGTAAGGTTAATGACTTGTCAACTGGTTAAACGACAGAAACCAGAGTAAGAAAAATGATCAGTTCTCACAATGAGGTGATATAAACAGTGAGGCCACCAGAATTTTAAAATGTTTTCATAAACTACTTGGAATTAGGAATGAGCAGCCAATAGCTAAATTTGCTGCTAGCATGGAGGGAAGATAAAATGAAAAGGGATTGCAAAGAACTCCACAAAGGTTTCCAACTGGGAGAACTGGAATTAATATGGAAAATGTGATGAATGCAAGCAAGTGTTGGAGCAAAAACTGAATTTTACACACAGGCTGATTGGGTCTGAGCTGCTTAGAAAAGGGGTCTTGGGGTTGTTAAGGGAAACTTGATGAAAATTTCAGCCCAGCATGAGGCTGATGGGAAAAGGGCAATGAAGCCATTACGTGTAATTAGGAAAGCTTCCAAACACAAACTGCCAAAATTGTTTTGCCACAATACTTAACTATGGCACAATCGCACCTTGAATAATATCAGCAGCCCTGGTCACCTCGACAAGGACATGGGAGAACAGGACAAAGTGCAGCAAGGGGCAACCAGGACAAGCCAAGTTCAACTCCCGTGTGAGGATCAGCTACTGCTGCTGGGAACATGTGCCTTACAGAAAGGGCTAGTGGGTGTGAGGTGCAGGGGAGAGCAAGCACAGAGGGGCACAAGATCAGACCTGATGCAGTACAAGAACACAGAAAGCAGCTTTCTCCCTGTCCCAAGATCCTGGAACCCAGAAGGGTCATTGCAATAATTTGAACAGTGGGAGATTCAGGAAGAGCTTCAGCTTCAGCATCGTCAACATCAATAATGCCGTTTCTGGGCCACCCAGTAGCCAAAGCTCTCTGGGCAGGTTACAACAACAGAGGAAGTACAATAACAATGCAATAGAAACCTCTTTAAATTACAGTACAAAACGTAAAAGCCACATTTAAAAAGCCACAATAGCTTGCATTATATCACAAACCCTGTTCAGCAATTGGTATAAAGGCCCAAAATAATATAAAACACTTTAATGCTCTGTCACAGAAGACAATCAAAAGAATTAAACTAGGGAATTGATACTGCAAGAAGCCGCGATGGCCACCAGCTTGGAAGCTTCATGCAGGGATGAGAGGAATTCATGACTTTGGGGGGCTGCTGTACTTGAGGGATGCTTATTTCCCCAGGATCAGGAGAGGTATACTCCTACCTGCCACTTGAATGGGAGCCCAACGGAGCTGGTGGGTGCTGCTGTGCACGCATCCGGCTCATGGGCTTCCAGGGGCATTGGGTTGGCCATTGAGAAAACAGAATGCTGGGCCAGGGGGCCTCTGGCATCCTTCCTTTTAATGCTGCTAAGCTTCAGCCTACAACAGGTCAAGATCAGAGTATGTTAAGGACCGTACCTTTAATAATGTTTGCAAGTAAGTTGCATACCAGTGATTTCCTACATACACTTTGACAATATGGTGGCGTGAAAAGGCTGATATTGCCGCTGCCCAGTCTGCATCTAAAAGACACAACACAACATCACAGAGCACCTGATCTTAAATGCATCCGTGCATTCAGGGGAGTGTGGAGGAAGCATGCTAATGGCCCAAGCCACAAGTCCCCTGCCTCCTGCCAGGTCTCATACAGTGTTTTGACCCAAAAGGAGCAGCAGGGAATCTGCTGGGCAGAGGCAGGTGAAGATTTCGCCTGTAGATCTGCTTGCTTGCTGTCTATACTGTGCGTGATTAGAGCTCTGAGCAAAGCTTGTTGGCAGCAGAGGAATTCACCACCACCAGAGATGGAGGGATACAGAGAACAGCTGCTGAACAGCAGAGGGAGCTCCCATAAAGGAGGAGGAGAGACATTTGGCCCACACTTTCCATTCCTCAATGTTTTCCCCACCTGGTGCTAGTGACGTTTTGCCAAAGGGAACACCTAATGCGAGATGCCACTGCCTAATGTTTTCATGGGGACCTGGGAAGTATTTGCAAGCTCCCAAGTAAAGCCTGTCTGCCCAGGGCCAGAACTGGATACAGTCCGCCTTCCTCTTGTCTGGCTACAACATTGTGCAGACTTGGTCGATCTTGATTTTTCACCCCCAGTTTACTCATGCACCTCTCCAGGCATTTTTACCTTTGCTTCAGCTTGGGCATTGCTGGGGGAAGTGGGATCCTAGGGAAGACAATGGCCAGAAAAGGCGCAAAGCAGAGCTGGCTGACTTACCCTTTGCCATTGTGTCTGTGGGTGCCTTTTGCTTCAGATACATTTTTAAAGCATCTTTCATTGGCTCGTACGTGATGTCCATTTGATCCAAATAGGCACAGAGTTTGGGAAGTTCAGATATATTTTGGGTAAGTGGCAGTTTGCATGTTCCCAACCAATTCCTTGGCATAGAAAAAGCAAAATATTCACAACACATTTGTCTCTTGCTTCAAGCTATCCTGACTTATCCCTTTCAAACACATCTTTGACCAGAGATGCAGAACCTCTTTCAAGCCAACTGCTGAGTTCCACTTTGGAGAAGCTCTTGGGGGGCGACAATCCAGCCATGGCTGGGGCTGAAGGCAAGCCGACGGGGTCTAAATGCTAGCAATGCCAGCACACCACAGCTTAGGACGGCATTCCTGGGGTCCCCAAGAGCATCCCAGGGCCCACAGCACTGCATGGAGAAGCCCTTCAGAGCTCAGAAGCCATGCCCCAACCCTAGGAGGGAGCCGACCCTGAAGCTTAGGCATCTTTGCCAGACAACTCTTCTGCTGCAATGCCTTTTAGATGAACAGCCCCGTTGTAGCGATCCCGTGTCAGGCTTTTATGATGCCAATTAAGCCTTGCTAAGGTCTGTCTAAATTTGAAATGAGTCGCAGGGAAACACTGAAGCACTTGGTATGGGTGTCTGTCTTCTAGCACTTATTCCCTGAGAGGTGTCAGGATTTCACCTTGCCGTGGACCTAGAACAAGAAGACTGACACATGCTGGGTGTCTGTGCCAACCTGACGCTCCCAAGAGGGAACTTAAGGGGGAACTAAAAGGAGAAGGGGAGGAAAGGCGGATGACCCCGAGCTCTGCTTGTACTGGCAGTAGGGGGAGGTGGTGCACGTGCACATAGGCACGCCAAGATTTTCTTTCACTCATATTTATGTGGATTTTTTGATTGAATGTTAGGAGCAAGGGCAGTGATGAGAGGATGATGCCTCTAATCTGGGGCTGCTGAATTCAGCATGGAGCCCAAATTCCATTGCAGAGCAGCTCTTGGGGACGGTTTTCCTGGGGTCCTTGGGGCTGACGCTGACGTGTTTTAGTTCAAAAGCTCTCTGTGCCAAACATGCCTTATGGGAAGCATTCTCCTTCAGTGGAGAGAAGTCTGCATAGAAAAAGTGAGGAAACCAGCAAGGGGTGGAGGCTGGGGAAAGGTAGCACATCCTCTGGAGGGCTCCCCTGCCTGAGGCTCTGCACCTTGCCTTAACCCCTTCGGAAAGCTCAGCTCAACTGGCGCCACAGAAGGAGACGTCCTTCTGAGAGGAGGAGGAGAAATTAGGTTTTCATTCTCCTGAGAAACAAGGGCAGACTAACTTGCTAACGAACCTACCTAACATGCTGAAAGAGAACACCATTCCCCGAAATGTACAGCTTGTTTCCATCCAGGGTACTTTCCATGTGAAGCTGCCCCAGGGCTGAGTCTGGGTATTTCACGAGAAGGCCAAGTGTCATCGGGTACAAAGGGAGCCGGGCAGCTTCTTGACCACACAGCTGCTTTTGCACTGTGCTTTTCGCAGAGCTCTGAAGATCACACGTCCCCTCTGAGTGGACCCCTGGAAGGAAAACGGACAAAGGAAAATGAACTACAACCAACCAAAATGCTGGCTGTGCTTTATACTTATCTCCATCTCCTCCAGCGAAAGCGCCACAGTCCAACCCAAGGTGGTCACAACCAATGCATAAAACTAAACTCTAAATACGATGCTGCAATCAGAGAGAAATCTCATCATCATCTAGCAAGGATAAAACATCCGAGCTCAGCTCCTCCTGCCAAAGTGCCTTCACCGAAAGTGCGCCTTTCGTCTGTGTTCTGCAGGATCATTCTGAAGTGCACCCATCACTGTCAACTGTTAGGACCACAAAGCAGGCTCAGAAATACAAATTATGGGTGTGAAAGCCACGTGGGCCTATCCTGAGCCACCAGGCACAATCGTCCATGTTCACACATTCCTTGCAAACAGGAGAAAGAAGCATCAGCCACCCAACTCACAGGGGAAGCAGCAAACAGGAGAGGTCAGGTGGTGTAGTGGCAGAGGCGCTTCCAGGATAGTGGAATATGTCAAGGTATCACCTAGTCAGCTGCGGAAGAAAGCAGGCTCTGGGCACATGCTGGACATCAATGCCCTTGGCTTCTCAGTTGGTGTCCCCCATGTTGCCTGCTGTCCCGCCCGAGTCAAAACGTGTGATGCCAAGCCAAGAGCCAACCTCCATAAGCACCTTTATTTCCAAGAATGCCTCCAGGCCCCGCACGGTCCATAGAGGCATGCTCGGAAAGCAAGATGGATGGAGCCAAAATACAGGGCAGCTCTGGAGGAAAGCCGGTGGGAGATCTGGGCCAGGGCAGAGGTTCACCTTCAGCAGGACAGTGACCCTCAATCCACATCCAAAGGAACCCTCTAGTAATTTAAATACAAGAAGCTGAATGCCACAGCATGACCCCGTCAAAGGGCAGTCCTCCATCCGATGGAGCGGTGGCAAGACTGGCAGGCTGCTCTTCAGCAACAGCCCCAGCTGAACTGATGGGCTGGAGCAGCTTTGCCTGGGAGGGTGGGCAAAGGCGGCAGGATTCTGGGTGCCCAGCGAGGGAGACTTCCCTGGAAAGCCCCCCGGCTGCAATTCCTGCCAGGTGCTTCTCAACCAAGTGCCCTCGTGTGGTTACGTGGTGAGGACTGCCTGCTTTTGCTAGAACCTTATAGCTATGGAGGGGATTCACACTGAAAATGCGACAGGAACCCCACCAGGGTTACGCCTGCAGATCTTTACTGCTTCGATGACTTCGGGGATTCCCAGTGCCTCCGCTTCAGCTTCCAGAACGTCCAGGCTGGAGAAGTTCTCAGGCAAAAGAATCTTCTCTGAGCGAAGAAAATTAGCTAGTTAAAAAAGAAGAGAGAGAAAGGCCTAGAATGGAGCAAGACACTGTGGCTCTTGCTACTGCATTGCATTTTGGAGAAGTTCGTCTCAAGTAGCTTCAGGAGAAAGCAAATGTGCAATTTCCTGGGAACCCCTTGACACCAAAAAGGGACGCATGGCACCGGTGGAAGGCTGCTGCAATGGGCGGACACTGCAGACCAAGCACGGCTCGTTCTGTACTCTGTGGCCACAGACTAGAAACCCATTCAAAGAGCCGCTCTTGTCTCTGCCACAATCAGCAAAGGAGGCTGAGGAATCTCAGCAGATCAATCGGAAAACGGATTAGTGTGGCAAGTCAGGTCATTGTGCAGAGGCAGCAGAACTCGTTTTACTGGATGTTGGGCTGGGCTTCTTTAGCATGCCCTGCTTTGAAGCTTTGCCACAGCATCTGGCTGCCCACTCTGTGGAGCATGACCTTTATCTGGCCTGGCAAGGCAGGTCTTGCATTCTAACAAAGATCCATAATCCCCCCAGAGCCCATGAAAAGCAAGCCCTCTGAGGCCGCCTCCAGAGGATAAGGATGGGCAGCAGGAACAATGGGCACAAGGGGGCCTAATGCTCATTTGACAAAGACAAAGGGATATGAGTATCCCATCTTGTCTTCCCTTCTCTTCTTCCTCAAGGAAAAGGCTTACCTATGAAGCGAAATTCACCTCCTTCACATTCTATCAGCACAGCGTTGTCAGACAACCACAGCAAATTGTCATCATTGACCAACAAAGGGTATTTTTCAACCAGGTCTAGGGGCAGAAAGCAGTAATGCACTTCTTCTTCAGTATCTAGTAAGGGGGTGTCCATCAATCCCAGGGGAGCTTTCTCATGCAATCCTACCAGGGAGAAAAAAGGGTATCAGGAGGCAGCCAGGAAGGGGACTGGAAAGCTTCATCTGGGGCCAAACTACATGTGATATAGATCTCTTGCCCAGGTTTTTCACATGCAAACTGCATTACTCTGGGGAGAGGGTGGTGAGGTATCCACAGCAGCAGAGGGGAGGGTAATGCTTTCCTCCCAGTCGGTATTCCAAAGGGAAATTCCTGCTCTGAGGCTTCTGTTTGCAATTGAAGGGAATCCTCTACAGGTGCCAGTGGAAGATTTCTTTTCAAGAGCATTTTGGAACAGGATTTTCCTCGGGTGGGCAGCTGGGAAGAAAAAAAATTCAACTATCCCACACACAGGCATACACACCAGCTATCTGCATCCACAGTCGAAAGAAAAAATCTCTGCTGATTAAAGGCAAGGACACAATTAACAGCACACATACTCTGGCCCCAGCTTGCTCTGGGATGCTGCAGCTTAGATGGCAGTGGCACTGACAGTTTCATGCATATTTAATGTATACTCTTCCTGTGTTGGCTTCCAGGAGACTCTCTCACTGGTAAATATTTATGATCACAACTGCTTTCATGAGGACTACCCTTTATCCTACAATTTATTTCTGCATGTGTACATTTTTAAAATGTATTACTAGTTTTCCCTTAAAGCATCTGAGAGAATATGCTATTTATCTACTTGCAAACAGGATTAGCTATAACACATTAAAACCATTAACAAAGATTAGTAAAGGACTTTGAAAATTAAAGTGAAAAAGTAATTACCATTTTAACCATTCAGGTGAAAACCATCTAAGCAAAGTTTAATCCGAGCCAGTGTAAGAACATGTACCAAGATCAATTATATGCAGAGCATGTCACTCTCAAGTGCGCCCCATTGGTCTAGCTCAGGGGCCAGCAACCCACGGCTCCGGAGCCACACGTGGCTCCTGAATCGCCCTGCTGCGGCTCCGTCACTCACAGCCGCCAATCTGCGACCCGTGCCGGCACAGCACAGTCGCCAATCTGTTTCATAAATGCAACACACTATAGGTTTTTTGTACACAGCATAAAGGTAAAAAATGATATATGCAAAGTTATTTTCATTTTAGAAGTCAAAAGAGTTTTGTGGCTTCCCGTGTTTTCTTTTCTGTGGGAAACAGGTCCAAATGGCTCTGAGTGTAAAAAGGGTGCCGACCCTGGTCCAGCTCGTCCTCACGATGAGCCTTATTGCCTTTCCACAACTGGAGACCTTAACTCAAAGGAAAGTGACCTGCCAAATGCATCCAAGACTGAGCATGGACCCTGCTCTCCTTTGGGGTTGTAGTACTAGATCTGGTGGATTCCTTCATTTTACTAAGAAAGTGGGGTATAAATCAAAATAAATTGATAAAAGATGGTTCCAAGCCTCCTTGGTCCAACCAGCACTCTGTGCACACGCTGGTGGTATAACACCAGCAGCAGTTTACAAAAATTATCCAACATTTTCATTTATGATTATCATTGCTATTTTGGTCCTGTCTAAACTTAAAAAGCTGCTTATGACAGCCCTTTACCAGTGAATGCTGGACTTTTAAGAGGACATTCTGATGGCTTGCTGATGCATTTTCGTGTTCTCCAGTAATTCATCGATGCTCTTTCAGCTATTGGTATATCAGCAGGACGGACACGCAGGTTATGTTTCCCCTCCTTCAAATTGTCTAAAGTCTTAAGGCAGATCAACTTTTCTTTAGCACACAGGACACCCATAACAGAGTACTCAGAGATGCTCTACGTAACAGTGATTTGGCTCTGCTACCAGCAATGCCAGCTCCAACGAGAGCCCTGAAATGGGTGCGCCCAACGCCACGAAGTTTAAGGTGAGCACAGCCCCAGCCCTACGAGGGCAGGCCTAGCACCCACTTCCTGAGGATTTTCAAGGGGGGGCCAGGAGGACTCAGCAGGGGAGGCGTCCAAGAGAGGGCAAGGCGGCCTGACCGGGCAGCCACCCACAAAGGCGAGAGCCAACCCGCCCGGCTGTTCAAACCACGGCTTAGAAACTGGGAGCGTGTGGATGGCGAGGCACTCCCTCTGCCTCGCATGCTGCTTCACACCTGGCCTTCGCTCATCGTAGTTCGGGACACCAGGGGAAGGAGCAAGCAGCGGTCCGTACTGATCTCCAAAGCAGGGTTTGTGTGCAAGCTTGCTTCGTATTCTGGTGTGAGCCACAACCTGGAAGCAAAGCTGCCAACGGCCTGCCGGCCGAGACTCGTGCGCTCCGGGCCTCTTCCCGGGCCGTCGCACCCACACGGGCCCTCGGAGCCCGTACGAGCACCAGCATATGCGAGGGCAGGTGGGGAAGGCCGGAGGGGCCGGCGCGCCCGCCCTCCACTTGGACGCCTCTCGGTCCGGCAGCGCAAGTGGACCCAGGCGGAGGAGCGGCCCTCACGCTCGCGGCTCCTGCCGACACGGAGCGGCCCAGGGCAGCCGCGCCTCTGGTCTGGCCCGGCCCGGCCCGGCCCGGCCCGCCTCGCCTCCCCGGAGAGCGCCCGCGGCTGAGGGGGTACCTGGAGCAGGGGCGTGAGCCGCAGGAGCACCGCCTGCTCGTGCAGCAGGCTCAGCTCCGCGCAGCTGGCGGAGGGCAGCTTGGCGGTGTGCAGGTAGTGGTGGATGTGCCGGAACGCGTGGCCGTCGCGGTCGAGGAACAGCCGCGCGCTCTCGCCCTGGGCCAGGGCCGAGGCCTCCTTCCAGATCAGCGAGTCCGGGAACTGGGCGAGCTTGCTCTTCGGCACGGAGAAGCACCAGCCGCCGACGTTCAGGTGCACCGGCTCCTCCTCGGGCGGCTCCGGAGCGCCTTCGGCGTCCTCCTTGGCACAAGGGCAGAGCAGAGCGAGGCGCTGCGGCGGGACCTGCGCCCCGCCGCCCCGCCAGCGGGGGGCGCCACAGCCGCCCGCCCCGCCCCGCCCGTCCTCAGCGGCGCGCTCCCCCGCCCCGTGTGGCGGGTCCCGGGGGTGCCCCTTCCCGCCGGCCGGCGCGCGGATGCCCCCGCGTTACCATGCTGCAAAGCCCGGCGGTGGAGGACCGGCCGCAGGCCGCGGGGGGGTGGGTTGCCGGCGGCGGCGGCGGCGGCTCAACGGCCCGGGCGCGTGGCCCGCGGCCGG